TACAGATTTCGGGTTTCGTTGTCGCTCGCCCATTTCGGTTCGGTCAGCCTGTCGGGTGTGCGCAGGATGGACTAAGTCCATGTCAAATCGACCATTGCCGTGCACTCAGAAGTCAAGCATCGTCCGAAGCCAGCTACTCGTCGCTCTTAGCGTCTCGTTCCGGCCGGTCAGCGACGCCAACTCCATCCGTCGGGAGATGGAATCCGGCAAGGCGCCAGACGATGAGCACGACAGCCGTGAAGAGGAGGGCGCGAAAAAAACCATATGCCCGGGAGGGGAGATTGTCGTGGTCGCGAAAAATGGTCGACATGCTCGCAGTCTCAAAGTTGGTCAGGTATTTGACGTCACACTCGCGCGCCTTCGGCGCGGCGTACGCGTTGTACTCGGTAAGAACATTGTTGAGACTCCAGCCCGAGACTTTGCGGATGACACCAATGACACAACCAGTGCGGTGCTACACGGTGTTAGCGACGGGTTCCTTTTTCGCGCGCATGGTGGGTGTGTGGTGCACATACCCTGCCGTGATTACAGTGAATGAGAAGTGGGTGATTGCGGCGGTCCAACACCACGCGGAGGATCGACTTCATCGTCTCCACCAGAATCTCCTCCTTTTTCGTCCCCTTCATATCAAACACTTTATGCTGGATGCCATTCTTGTCAAGAAACCCAACATAGCCCTGTGGGAACTCCTTTTGAACCAAGGTGCTAGGGAACTGAGTCAGTCACTGTAGTGTGCGGTAGCCGAAACATTGCGGGGGAAGGGAGCGCTTACACAACGGTCTTGAGTTTGAGACCTTCAATGAACGAGTAATCATCCGACTGGGGAAAACTACTCCGAAACACGCCGGGTGCGACAATACCAAAATTGCCTGGGCGACTGCCTGCCGGGAGACGGCTAGCAAGCTCGAGCATCGAGGGGACCGGAGTTGGGTGAGACCAAGGGGGGTAAAACGCGTCCTTCATTGGGACCCCCAGTTCCAAATTGTCGAGCTCGAGCTGAATGTCGACTGGGCGGATGATGGGCGACGACTCCAAGCTGGATTGGCTGCTGTGCGTAGTCGAAGAGGATGTCGAGGTGGTGTTTCCTTCGCCGTCTGATCCCAACTCCCCTTTCCGAGTTGTCTGCATCGCCGGGTAGAGGCCAACCTGACTCTCCATATCCTCGTGGTCGTACTTGGTACTCCGTGGGAACACCACGTTGTCGAGCCCAAACATCTTGGTCGGTTCTGGGTAGGCCGGGGGCGGCGCTAACGGTAGGTGTGAGTTGGGAAGTTGGCTTGTCGGTACGGTCGACTGAAGTTTGTAGACCGTTGCCGTCAAGGTCCGGATGGGCCGGGCAAAATGGAATCGGTTATTGAAGATGGGCAAGTCTGCGACGAAGAGCTGCCGGGAATCGTGAGGTCCAAGGAGCAAAGAGGAGAAGAGTGAGGGAGAAGAGAGGGGGGGAGAAGTATTTATTCGGTCGATAGAGAGCTCCGAAGGACCTCAATGGGAGGGCCGCACGCAACTATATCGACCCGTGCATCGTGGAAGAATGCAGCTTAATGGAGGTAAAGTTCTAGAAAGTGGGGGTCCAGGTGCTCTGTGTCGAACGAAGGGGAACCTAAGGCAGATTCCGGCTTCCGTAAGGTTTCTCTGGCTGCGCTGCCCAGGAGGCTAAACAGAGCGACTGTGTCTCGGACGCAAAGAGAAGTGAGAGACGTGGGTTGAGTGCAATGGCTCAAGAGAGCGAAAAGCTAAAAAGGAAGTGGACCGTCGCGGGCGCAAGAGTAGTGGAGGTACATCTTGAAAGAGCAGAGCGGAAGCCGCTTTTTGTTGGCAGAGGGCACGCGGTGGCTTACAAGGATTGCGCTCTGAGAGTGGGGGTTTCTGGGGTTCTGGGCCAAGGGTTTGGGGGCCTTCCACCTATTTGAGCAACCGACAACGCGAAACGGTCAGAGGGAGGTCACAAGTCCCACACACGGGCATTGAACGCGCAGGAAAAATGCAGCACAGGCATCCATGATGGAAGCCATACGTTAGGTTCCGTGGACTGTGAACACTGGACTCACGCCTAATCGACCCGTGGAATCCATCCTCTCTTCAGCCTCGATTCCAAGACGAAAACACACGCCGGGCAACGCTTGACTAGGCGGCCTTCAAAACTGGCCGAGAGGCGTTTTTGCCACTGCCCGGGCAGCGCAGCATAAGAAACGCTGATGCGGCTTTCGGTCGCACAAGTCAATCGAGCCACCACACACCACCGAGTCTGGGCGCGCAGGTCGCTGGCTGCAGGTTCGATCAGAAATCATCGAGGATCGGCTCACACTAAACCGGATTTAGGGAGTGTGGTCCCGGAGTTATGGCCAAGGTGTTTGTGTGCCCCAATCCCGACAACTGTCCGCGGCCAGTTCCGAGCTTCTCCCGAAATCCTGCGTTTAACGAAGTTGGTCGTTAGTTAGGTTTTAGTTCACATTAATGACGACAAAATCAGGTGTTGCTTTCATGCGCCGAGATGTATCCAAAACCACACCCCCTTCACCTCCTTAAAGAGCAACACAACTTCCACAACGTCAGCTCGAGGCTGAGTTTGAAGTTGCAGCAGACAAGCCGTTGGATCTGACATTGCTCCTGCAAGGACGGCTCACTCATTTTCCCCATTCGATCCCCCGCATCCTGTGCCGTGTGAGACCCCTCTTGGCACATTCTCCAAGACCATAAGAAAAGAGCAAAGGGAGAAACAAAACCAAAACGGCTCGCTCACGCAAGCCGCGCAGCTTCCCCACAACTCCCTGCTTCGACTTGGGTTCGACTGGTGATGGAAGGGTCAACGTGGCTAGCAATGCTTGCTCCCACGACAGGACGCCGGCCCCAGTGAAGCCGATGCAAAGGATTGACTGGGGGGCGAAGTGCCTCGAAATCGCCGATCTCGAGAGAGATCTTGGGTCGAGTCAGAGTGCACCTCGAGTCACAGAGAGACCGAGAGGACAGGGCAAGTGAAAGCGAGGCGACAGCACCGACACAGTAGCAAAGCAAAGTTTGAAGTTCCGCTTCCAGCTGCCCGCGGCCGACGATGTAACACCCCGTTACCTTGCACTTCGACAAGGCGCAGAAACAACACTCACCGAAGTTAGTAATTGGGTTGCGGGCCAACGCCCTTTGGCAGTTCCTAGGTTGCGGGCGCAATTACGAGTTTTATTTCGGGTGTCCGTCTCCCGTTTCTCTCGTCATATTGTCCCGGATGCTCGGGGAACTCGCTGAAAGTCAGCTCGCACTTGCTCCCATCGGCGCCAATAACAACCGACGTCATGGTCCCCCGGCAGCCGTTATGATTTGCAATCACCGAATAATGAGAAAGCTCCCCCCAAACCCTTCCCAAACGAGACTTGTGTCACGAGGGGACCCATTGACTCTGGACAGGGACATCTCTCCAACCGTGTCCATGAATCTCCTCGTTGCCGTCCCAACCTTCTCCAAAGCCCCAAATCAGAAACTCATTTCTCCAAATCCATTGATTCAATACAAAAAAGCGCTAAGAAAAAAACGAGGCGGGCGGGACGCAGCCCTGGTCGCATATTGCTGCACCCCAGACCAAGCCATCGGACGGGCCCCACAATGAGTGGTCAGCCATCCCACGCCCGTCTGGAATGGGGGACTCGCCTCATCCCGCGTTGCTCACGCGACAAAACTCCAAAGGCTTCCCGAAATGGGGACCGAATCGGGCGAGTTTTTTTCTCGGGCAGGATCGGGATGACGGGGTGAGTTTTTCGTGGATTTTAGTGCCGAAAAAGATGACTTGTTTCGGCAGGAGCCGGACGTGAAGGTTGACACTGACCGTGATCGGATCTTGGATCGCGGGAGTGAGCGGCAGGTCGGTGGTTGACACAACCCTAACCCTGTTTGAAGAAACTGAGTCCTCACCGAGGACAAAACAGTCTCATAACTCGCTCGCGACTTATTGGACCAGGAGAAGTTATTCCATGATACAATTCCTAAAATCTCTCATAGATTTCCACAGCATATCAGTGCACGCGCAAAGATCAACATGGCCCGATCATAGATCCCTTGTCGCCACCCAACCTCCTTTCTCCCGCTTTGCCCTCCCTTCTAACTCTTTTCTTAGGCCAACTTCCCCGGGATAAACGGATGCCCGGAACTCAACCCGCCATCGACCGCCCACGCTTGACCATTCACATAACTACTCTCATCGCTCCCCAAGAACAGCGCAACCCGCGCAATCTCATCGGCGTGGCCTGCGCGCTTCAGCGGGTTCAGTTGGCCGATACGGTTCTCCGTCTTACGCCGCCGCGCCACCTCGAACAACGGCGCCGTCATGCCCGTCTCGATCAGGCCCGGGCAGAGCGCGTTGATCCGCACGCCGGTGCCGCCGAGCTGGTAGGATATCGTCTGTGCCATGGAGATGACGGTCGCTTTGCTGGCTGAGTAGGGCGTGCTGCCGGCGTTGGAGCGGATGCCCGCGACCGAGGCCGTGGCGATGATGCTGCCGGAGGGGTTGGGTTTGGATGCGGAGGTCTTTTGCATCGCTGGCGCGGCGTACTTCGCTGCGAGGAAGACGCTGACATGGGAAACATTCCAGGGTTACTAAGACCAGAAAGACCAAAAGAGTAACACAGGGAGGGGAAATAGATAAAACACACCTCAGCGAATTCACCCGCATCACATCCATAAACTCATCCGCCTCGATCTGGCCAAACGGGACTTGCGAGCCAGAGATGCCGGCATTGGCAAAGAAGACGTCGAGGCGGCCGTACCGCTCGAGGGCATCGTCGATCACGCCCTTCACCGCTTTCTCGTCAGCGGCATCCAACTGGCGCGTGTGCACCTCAACCTCCGGCCACAAGCTGGAGATCTCGCGCTGGTGCGCCGCTAGGTGAGTGTCATCGTAGTCGCAGATGTACACGGCCCGGGCGCCGTTCTCCGCGAACTGGTGCGCCGAGGCCCGGCCGATGCCGAGGATTGAGTTGGCGCCTAGTAGGATATTGGTTAGCTTTGTGTTGAGGTGAGAAGCCGACAGAGTTCGGGCTTAAGGATAAAATGAAAAGAAATGAACAACAATTATTAAAAGACACAACTTACCCGTGATGATGACCACCTTCCCAGCAACCCGTGGCCCGCTCGGCGCGACCTTGGTGAGAGGCGGCACCGAACCGCTCCCGGCGATCTGGCTGCCAATGGCCTGGACGCGGCGCGTCGCTGAGTCGGACATTGCTTTAGTTTTTTACGGTCCCTTACTACCTCATGTGCGTGAAAAACCCTCGAAATCAGAAAACTCCGAACTTCTCATCAATCAATTCAAAAATGCAAAGAAATTTGAAGGTGTTCAAGAGGTGACAACTCAGTCGTTCCTCATAGGCACCCGGGTTTTGTTCCATAAAACAAAGGGGCCGGATACAGTCAGCCCCCCTACTCGGGGTTAGGGGTCGCCAGCGCGGGGAAATGAGTGGGCCGAGGTCAACCTCCTCGGAGCCTCGGCCGGGATCCTACACGTCGTTCCTTCCCTCCGCGGACGCTTTCTCTCACCGGTGCTGCTTTTCCGTTGAAGATTTGTGAATGCACCTTCCGGGAAAATACTATCTAGGCAGTGTTTTCGCGATTGGAGGAAGAAAAGGAAGACCTTGACCAAAATGATCGCCGTAGATGTTCACAACACCGTTCACAACCGCCAACCACCACAACGACCCTGTGATGCATTACCCAGCACGGAATGAGACAACTTGATGGCGGAACACTCCGTCCTTGATCCCTTCCTACAGTCCTAACGGCATCGTCCGACACGCTAAACAGGGTAGTCATCAATAAGACAAAAAGTATCAATGTTTCAGGGCATCTCCCCCACGGTTGGGAACTCGGGAAGCGGATCATCGTCAAGTCGGTATTATCCTGCAAAGGGAAAAAAAAAGGGAAAGCAAGGGCAAAATCGTCCCGGGAGAAGGAATAGTTGAGAAAAAAAATAGAATATGAACCTTCCATCAGTGGGCGAGCCCAGCATCATGAAATTAGGTAGTGGTTGAGATTTATTCTTTGAAGCCGTCCCTTCAAATATGTGTTAATTAGTCGTGGTCTGGCGTTGCTCTCAACACCAATAGCTTCCTTTGTGCTTCCTTGAACTCCAATCTCGGTGGCACCGCTCGGTCGCTCATAGCCCAAGTGGGCGTTTCGAGGGGGTTATGCCGCCTGATCAAGCGGGGACGTGGTCCCTAAGCCAAAACCAAGAAGACTCGTCTCTCTCAAGGGCAATAAATAATATATAGCGCCGCCAATGCAAACGCCACAATCATCACCACAATGGTTGTGAAAAGGACAAACCTAATTCGACGTTTTCCATACGTCTCGGCCCACACTCTCCGCTGGTATTGCCCGTCGTCTCCTATCCATTCTTCGTACATTGTTGTTACCCACTGGTTGTATCAAATATGATATTAGCCTCAACTTGACATGGTTTGTGTAGTTGTTGTGTAAGATAAATGCCACCTACATGCCGGGGGTTGTAATTATAGGTATCGGTAGTCGAGTATCGGGGAAGCAGTGTTGGAATAGACTCCGAAGAGTGTCCTTGATTCACATCATATATAGTGTGGGAAGGAACTGTGTTCCTCTGATAACCTGCTATATGCGTTGATGGGGCCATGACGTTGGTTGCTAAAGTTTGGTTGTAATTGGAAGGGGGAAGTGAAAAGGTTTGAGGTAGAAACGACAGCCTGTGCTTGCCTTAAATAGGGAGAATTTCAGTTATTGATGCAGGTGTGACGCACGAGGATGAGGTTGCAGGTTCCACTTGTTGACTGATAAAACCTTAGAAGCTTGTGAGAATCAGCAAAGTCACAACTTCAACATTCGTTCATTGTTTTAGAGCACCAGTTGTTAGACCGTTAACGCAAAACTTTCCCGGATCGTTTTCAATACGCGTCATGATGGACGACGTGTAAGTAAATTCCTGTTCTGTTCCTGTTACATGAATACTATCTACTATGATGAAATAGCGAACTAAACGACGTCGCCCCTCAGGGTACTCCCAACCCCCATACCTTACTGCGCCGCTCCCAAGGTGTAATAACACCTGATGATGGGCTGCCCGTACAGGCACCGTCACCAGCGCACTGGAATGTTCACCAAGTAGGTGGTATTTACAAATACGATTAACTTCTCAAGTCAAGGCTATCAGGCTAATTTCGGTTTCGATACGGTTAGTGGGCCACGACGATTTACGAAAAATGGCAAGGACACAATGGAGAACACCGTGATACCATGACGGAAAATTACTGGAAAGTTTTGACCGACTTTTTCCTCATCACGACTGTTCTGGTAATTTTTGGGGCAGCTGGATTAGGGGCTTTGTATATCATCTTTCGACGTTGAGTAAGAGTTTTTAGTTAATAGCGGAATAATGAGCGATGATTGGGTTCGTTACCTTTTTTCCCTGTGCCCTTCCTCACCTCTGAAACTTCAGCCCAATTCAGGGGCAAACAAACAAAAACCACAGACGAGCCAAGCCTTAACGCAGTCAATCAGTCAGCTGCAAATCACTCCCTTCGTTGACCCTAAGACAAGATTGTCTCCGATGTGTGTTACCACAGAGGCCACAACTGAGTCGGAAAGCCCGGCTCTTGGGTGACAGAACAAATTGATTGATTGGATGTCAAAGACACCGGGTGCTGCGCAGCTCAGGGGGAAGAGGGTTCACTCGTGTGAGGTTGTGCTTGCGCGCCACTAAGGCCGAAGTGATTGCGTTTTGGGGACAGAATGAAGGTTGGAGGTTGCCGATGATTTGTGGCTGGCTGTGGTGTTGTATATTTTGGAGATATCTAAGTGGTTTGCGTGGTCAATGGAAGTGTTGATCTTGGTGGATTTCAAGCATGGGGAACGGCCGGTGCAAGTTCAGCGACGACGTCCCTTTCTCGCGGGGGAAAAAAGATAGATGATGGGTATGTACTACCGTCGCTATCGTATCCGAGGTCAGCTGCTGCACCTCTGACGCACATACACACACGTGCGAGTCCCTGTAATTGGAGCCATCATTAGTCCTTGTGTTACTGGGGAAATCTCAAACTTCGGAACAACTTCAGCGCAGAGATTCCAACTGTCAATACACCCCTCTCCAAATAACATATAACCGATCATCTGACGTTTAAGAAAGAGAGCCGAAAACCAAGGAACAGAAACAACAGCTAAGTTGGGCCGCAAGTCTCAAGTCCCGAGCTGAACGCAGGCTCGGGTGCTTGCATATCTGTCCTACCGTAATATCGACTAGGCAAAGTCCGCTGCGGACGGAAATCTCTTCGTTCCCACTGGTACATACATGCTACACTCATACAATCGGTCTTACATACATACACAAACACAGACGCAGCGATGGCCCTACACAAGACATAGATGACAGGCACTACCTTTTGTTACCTTTTGTATCCTTGGAGTATCTACATTGTTCTGGCCCGTTCTTTACGTTTCCCACAAAAAAGCGCTAACCTGCTCCGTAAAAAAGGCACCGTTGAACTTGCCTACTCACTCAGCCAACAGTCGTGCAGTGACCCTTCCAAAAACTGGGCTAAACCTCCTATTCCAGCCCAGCCCAGCGACTCAAGTGAAAGTTCACAAACCCGTACCACCACATCTCATACTCATTTCCCTCCCTCATTTTTCTCCCTCCACACCTGCGACCTCCTGTCTGTACTATGTAATCCCATCCCATCCTGTCATACACGTACCTGTTCCACCCGACCCAACAAGCGCAGCATCTCACCTCTCTCTAATCTATCTCTCTTTCTCTCGTCTCCATTATTAATATGTTAATATGTGTTGTGTTATTCCTATGCGCCGAGCCTGTACTTACCCACTGATTATACCCACTATATTTACCTGTCTGTATGCCCGACGTTGCTGACCAACCTGTCAAGATCCGGTACCCGTCTCTAACGGGAGGGGACATGATTAACGAGAGCGGTGAACGAGAAACAGACCGCTAGCTAGTTACCCAACCAGCCAGCAAGACATGCGGAAGGACAGGCAGACATACAAACTGACAAATAGACTCGAATCCGGACAAGGATCGAGACTCAGACTAGTCAGTCTATGGAGCACACACACCGACAAAAAAGAAGCGCGCACCCGTCATTTCGTCATCCCGTTGTACAAACTCCTCTCCCATTACAATACACAATGGTACAACACAGAGTCGGCCGGGATGGCCTGGCCTGGCCTGGGATGACTTGAATGATATGTGGAATCCTGCTGCGGTGCGTGGTATGTAATGGCAAAGCTAATGTGGATGGTGATGTTGTGTAAGCGGACACTGGAGTGCTGAAGCACTAAACACTGCACTGAATACTGGTTACGGAATATCGGCCGCGGGGGACAAGGGCGGGAGACAAGAATGGGTTAGGGTGAGGTGAGATGAGGTATATAGCCGTGCGTAGGTCGTCTCGGGCGGATGATGCACTCTCCCTGAAGGAGAGGGAAGAGGGGGGTTCTGACCTGTTTCGACTTTTCTCTCTCTCTCGCTCTTTCTTTCTTTCTTGCTTGCTTGATACCTACACTGCTAATCTACCTCCAGTACAATCTACCCCTGTTACCTCGTCAACCGACCACCCCCTAAATACCAAACCCACCATGGCCAACATAACAACAACAACCACAACCTGCGAATGCCACATCAACACCACCGCCCTCCGCTCCCAACCCCCTTCCGTCTGGCGCAACAACCCCGCCGCTTGTCTAGACCAATGCCGAACCCAGTTCCTGAGCGGGTTGCTCACCGCGTGGGGGGAGGAAAGCAGCAGCACAACAAGTGGGAACGGGAACGGATGGGAACAAGGATGCGGCAGTCTGAACAAGGGGGTGGATGTGCGGGAGTTTTGGACGTTGTATTGGTGTGATGCGACGTTTTGTGGGGTGGCTATTGAGGAGGGGGGTGGGTTGGGGCAGGATCGTGAGTTTTTCTGTTTCTTTGTATTATGTCTATGTTTTGAGTCCGAGGGGAAGAAAAGGGGTAAAGGGCCTAAACTAAGTGTCGGCAGCAAACGTCGATCGGATCATCAACACGTGTCAGAAGTAAGGTGTATATCGTTTTTGAGTAATGAAAGGAGGCGAACTGACTAATACCAAACAGCATCGGGTTCTACTCCCTCCTCGACCCCGGCCCACCCCCGACCTACTTCCACTGCCCCCTCGACAGCAACTCCTCCGGCGACTGCAGCTTTACCGCCCTGACCGCGCCCCAAGCTACACGAAACCCCGAGATCGACCCGGGCTCGACGGCTCCCACACAAACAGTAACAACCGATGGTTCTTCCTCCTCATCATCCCCGGCATCGGCATCCTCCTCATCATCGACACCATCCTCGACGCCAGCTGGTACTACCTCTCCCCCAACGAACAATCTCACAGCCCAAGGCAAAGCAGCCATCGCCATCTGCTCCGTGCTAGCACTCATCATCCTCATCACGGTCGTGCTACTGTGTCTGCACCGACACAAACGGCGCAAAGCCTCGCTTGATGACGATGCTGGGGCTGACGTGCCGCCTTCTCGTCGAGCGCGCGAGGGGCTTTTGGCTCAGGATCCAGAGGGAGGAAATCATCCAGATGGTGGGGGTGGTGGTGAGACGGTGGCAAGCGGTGCGTCGCCTACGCCGCTTGTTTCGCCAACGACTGACGCTGTGGATTATGGGAACGGTCGTAAGAGTGAGAGTGGAAATGGGAATGAGAAAAAGAGTAATGGTGGGGATGAGAAGAAGAGTAATGGAGGTGATTCCAAGAAAGGGATTCTGAAAACGACTACTACGGCTACTACGACCGCCACGACATCGACCAGCGAGAAAGGAACAGGGAAACCAAAAAGGAGTAACCCACCCCTGCGCCTGCGCGACCGCAAGTTCCTGTTCCCCTCCCTCCTGCGGGCAGCGAGTAGTAGTGGGAATAACAATGGGAAAAGCCGGGCCTACTCACCTCCTTTATCGCCCCTGACCTCCGTCCACAGCACACATGGCACGACCTCGCACCCACCTTCGCGCAGCGGTGTCGCCTTTGCCTCGGGGGCTACCAGTCTCTCAGAGAAGGACGGACACGGCATCTTCCCGGCCTCACCGATCTGCTCGCCGACGGTGACCAAGCTATTCCCAAGACAGGAGAAGAGCGGGGCCGTTACGACCGGGAGGTCATCTGAAGCTGGATACGCAGATTACCCTCCTGCACCTCCACCTCCACCTCTTCCTCCGTCGGTGTTATCATCCGCTTCTGCCCTTTCGTCACCCGAAAAAAAGGTTAGATTGGACTCACCACGGACGAATTTCTCGCTGCCCGTGCCTCTACTAAAAGGTACCAAGGGGGAGAAACAAGGGATTCAGAAACCCGAAATCCCAAGCGACCCCGAACAAGTCCCCATCGTCGGAGGCGACCCCAACCGTGCCAGCGACAGCGCCAGCAGCTACTACACCAACGGCACGTCCACGGCCCATTCCTCTCTCCGACACCACGAGATCCCCATCGGAATCCCGCTGTTTGCGGGAGACTCCCATGCCCGCTCACCTTCCCCTTGTCCCTCTCTCTCCCCTTCTCCGCTACGCCCGCCCCGACCACACGAGGGCCCGTTACATGTCCCGGGTCTGCTCACCGCGCGAGGGAGGAGCACAGGTACAGGATCAGGATCCTACACCCGGAACGAGATACTTCTGCCAGGCGACCATCACCCGCGAGGACGCACAGGAAGTGCCAGTATCACGAGTGTCAGCAGCACACCGCCGCCTCCGCCGTTGAGTCCACCGCCCACGCGGGCGTTACCCAAGACGCCGAATGGAGGTGCGTCGTCGCCTTCTCCTCCTCCGACGAGGGAGGTGAGTGTGTCTCTAGGAGGAGAAGGGGGGGATGAGAAGGGATTGGCTGGGGTACATGTACCGCGGGCATCGACGGTGGGTGGCAGGGCGTTCCCTTTGGTTACGCCCAACACGAAACCGGCCCAGACACAAATCCAATCCGGAACCGATCCTGAACCTCAGCCCGGACCAGCCGAAGCCCAGCGCCACCACCAACCCGACGTCAAACCCCACTTCAGCCTCATTGTTCCCGATCGAACCCCAGAAGCCAAACTCCCTCTCAATACCTTCCCAGACCCCAAACCCAACGCCAACGCCAACCACCCTAACCCCGAACTCAAACCCAAACCCAAATCCACACACATTCCTAGCTCCCCATCAAAACCCGACCTCAGCCCTGGCACCAACATCGAACCCATATCAATATCTCCCACCGCCAGCCCACTTCCCCAGCACCTCGGCCTCGGCAGCCCCGTCCCTGGCCCTAGTGCCGCTGTTGATGGGCCACCACCGCCGTATGAGTACGACAGCCATAGCCAGGGTGGTCAAGCTATTCTTAGGAAGGGTGGTGATAACGATGTACAGCCCACTGGCGAGGGCGTCGGGGATGTGCTGCGTCGGGGTGATTGGAGAGGGAGTTGGGGAAGTTGGGGGGAGATGGGGGGTGGTGGGATGCCGGGTGTGAATGGGGCATCTGGTGGTGGTGATGAAGGGATATCAGGTGGCGGGCGGGGGTATAACAGTCTTGATGCTGCCGGTGAAAGTATTGGGATGGGACGGGGCCGTTTTGATGGGGAGGTGGATGTGAAGGGGCCGGGACTGGCGGGTGTGTCGATCAGGGGAGAGACTGCTGGGTGAGGATGCTTTGCTGTAGCCCTGGAGGAGTTGAGTTTGTATGGAGGTTTTTTTGGAGTTGGGTTGCTATAAATTGCTACAGTCGGTTGCTATGAACTAGATAGAGGAGAACGAATTAGTGTTGTATTTCTTCCTGAGAGAACCTACGGAAGATGGAGTTCAGTTTGTTGCGATATATTTGGTACTGGCCGGTTTCCAGATTTTCCGACTTTCTGCTTGCTTCCTTTTCTGTCTCCGTGGGATATGCCTGGATCGCGGAATAGATTGAAAGAACCCGGTAGACCATGAAAATCGATAACACCAGGTCTCAACGAATAATTCAAATCATGGCAAGAACGGAGTGGACCTAATTAAGCTACAGCCACCTCCTCTCGCGCCTGCCCCCTCGCACCTGCCCTGAGCAGGACCGGGGGCAGGGTATATAAGGGAGGTGTGCGCACACAGTTTCCAAAAACCAAGCAAACCATGATGATCACACCTGTTGGTAGTGTAGTGGTTAAGCTGTGTACTTTGTGGGCCCCCCCCCCAGGGTGAAATGAGTCCCCTGGGCAGTGTGGCTGACCACAGCTCTCTTTTTCGATTCCTGTTCGTTTCACTTTTTTTTCTTTTCTCATTTCCCATTTCTAAAATTATTACTAGGTTGGAGATATCTTCACCAGAGAGTATTTGTAATTATCAAGGAATCGAGTGCCGTTGATAATGCTTTCATTCCAGAAAACAAAAAAACGATGGCAAGAAGAGAAGGATGTCAAGCCATGGGAGTGTTCCCTCGTGCCTGCCCTCGCGCCAGCCCTCGCGCCTGCCTTGCCATATATCCCAGGTTTTGGGGCAACTCCCCAACAACCACTGCACTGCAGTGTGGTGTAGTGGTTGAGCTGTGTACCTAGTCGGTCCCCTCCTAGGGTGAAAAGGCTCCCCTAGGGGGCGGCTGACCACAGCTAGCTTTTTTGTTCGATTTTCGTCTGCACCCCTTTTTTATCCCGTGGGTTTTCAAGGGACGATTTTGAAACGCCTTTATTTTCAGCGGCAAGGGGGCATTCTTTCCCAATACACTTACTCTTCCCACTACCCGTGCCTTCCGGAGGTCTGCTAAAATAAGATCTGCTAACCACCATTTCTTGCCAGATCCGTACGATTACAACTACCGTTCCAAGTCCACAGAGGACTCCAGCACAAACGACGACAAATACGAGATCCTGTTATCTCTCCCTGGATCAAAACACTGAAGCTAAAGCGCCGGAGATGCCATGAACGGTGAACACCGCATGTTTAGAAAGAAGTGATGGCCAGTTGGCTATCCACAGCTCCCGTTCAGGTGGAATCGAAAACCTAATTCCACCAAGACCACCCTCGACTGTCCTCTGCGACGCCTCATCATCAACACGCCTACTTTGCACTTTCAAACCCAACCCCAACCCCAACCAGCACAAGCTCAAACCCCACTCTAGCTCAACTGCCCCCTAACATCACTACTCAACGCCCCACACACCTCAACACTCTCATACTCATCCCCCCAATACGCCACCGGCTCCGGAATAATCCTGATCGCCGTCCCCAACAACCGAAACAGAATATACCGAAACCCCGCCACACCAATCCACTCGCCCAGCGCAAAGTAATTCGCGTCGTACGCCCAATCTTTCGCCATGCCCTGCGCCACGGCCAGCATCACCTGCTTGAAGTCGGTGTTGCCATATGCTTTTTCCGCGCGCGGGTCCCAGAAGTAGGTCTGGTAGTTGATTTTGAAGCCTGCTTTTGGGTTTGTACGTCGACGGTTTGATGTTGTTAGTGCGTGGTTTGCTAGGGTGTGGGCGGTGCACACGGTGCCGGTGTTGTTGCGGAAGGTGGTGAAGGATATGTCGGCTGGAGTGGTGGACACAGAGGGGTGGGTGACGCCGCGGATGATGAAGTGCTGGATGATATCGTTAATGTCGTCGTTGCTGTTAGAGGGGGAGGAGGAGTCGTTTGTGGTATGGACGAACTTGGCGGCCAGCTGCGGCGTGTCGATGAGATCCCAGGAGAACCCTACGGCGCTGAAGTGGTCCTGGACGATGGACACCACGGCGTTTAACTCGGTCGTCCTTTTGTTGACGGGCTGTTCCCCCGTAATCGGCGCTTTGGTCTCGGTCTGAATATCCAACACAGCAAGAATCACGAGGGCGACGATGGCGGCGACTTCGGTACAGGGCTGCTCTGTTCCCGCGTTGTGGTTGACCAGTCGGCAGACGTTGAGGGCCATGGCGCCGCCCCACATGGTGTATGACAGTTGGGACTTGCCGTTGAAATTGTTCTGCACAAAGTCGGTGATCTCTGTCAGGTCTCTCACACAGACGGGACCGGCCATGTCAGCGGAGGACTGGGGGGTGACGGCGTGGGCAAAAGTTGAGAGCGGGATTGTGCTCCCCAGGAGGCCGGTGGAAAGCTTCATGATAACAAACGGCGTAGTTAATAGTAGACTCGAGGTCTAGGTACTCTAGATATTCAGGTGAGGATATAGGCTCCTTCACACGCAAGAGCAGTATTGGGGTTGTTTAGGCAACGTGAAAGCCCCAAGAAGGAATGTCTAGGCGAAGGAAAGCTTCAGATACTCGTTGTCTTGGTGATGGGGCAGATTATTCTATACCTCTCACTTCACTCCAACCATTCGCCTTGATAACTACTCGATCCTTGGCCGACGGTGCTCCCAACATCCGTTGTAGGCGGCCCAACGCCGGGCAGACCGCAGGTCGCAACACAATTTCATGTAGGACATGTGGACATATCGATCGTGGGACAATGAGACCTGTAGGACATGATACACCGCCTCGCCGTTGTCATCGAACTGCCGAGGCGCCGGAACAAGTAACCAAGTAGCACGTGGAAGATTCTATCACATCGACCTTGGTATTGCTGCTCGCGCCTGGATCGTTCATCGTTAAACCAGTTACAATACTTGGCCGTCTTGCTCGTGGAGTTGCTGTCATCCCCGGGCCATGGACCAACAAGTCCCTAGATCAGGAGTCTCCGAGTTAGGACTCTGACGCTGGAAAGACGTATAACCCTACAGACCCGCTCATGCTATGGATACTATGTGATGCTATATATGTTGGTTCTCATGTTGGTTCTTCGTAATCCCACTGGACGGGTTAGTTGCCTCTTTCGGAAATTTTGACGACTGTTTGTTTTGCTCGGGCACTTACACGGCGATTCCTCGTCACAGCGCTGGTCTCGGTGTCCAGATAAGCCGCCGAGTAAAGGGAGGAGGAAACCATCTCTCCTCCCCCTAAAAAGGAGAAAAAAAAGAAAAGGCAGTCGAACAAAAGAAATCACAGCAACAACAACCACAGAAACAACCCCCAACAAACACCGCAACAATGAAATCCAGAACGATCTACTACACCCTCATAGCCATCAGCCTCGCCATCCTCTACTTGTTCCCCCTCTGCCTCGACCCCAGAACCCAATACACAGCCAGACTTTCAAACGACGCGTGGAGCGGAATGACCGCCGTCTGCAATGTGTTCGTCCATCATGTGGTCGGCCCGGACGCGGTAGAACCGTACATGTTGCCACGGTGCTTGCCTCTGGGTGTTGGTGTTGGGGTGGGGACGATGGGGGGGATGTGGTTTGAGAGGGGGGGGAGTTTGGGGGGGGATTTGTGATCACGGGGGGGGGCTTATAGCTTGTTAAACTTGTGTGGAGGGGGGGATACTGGGAGGGGAGTTAGGGATAGGCAGAAGGGGGTGGGAAGACGGGTTGACTTGGGAGGGGTTCTTATGTGAGGGTTTAGGGGGATGGGGATTTTGTCGAGGGATGGGGAGGAGAGGGTTGGGAGAAATGGAGGTGATGGGGTTTTTTTTCTCTTTAAGCTGAGGGGAAGTCTTATTAGGCTCTTGGGGGACTCGCTGCAGTTTAGACTTTCTTGCCAGGGAAACACACAACTGAGGTAGCCGGCTGGCCATCATGTCTTTTGAAAATGGCGGTGTTCATGGTGTTTCCAGCGCTTTGGTTTCTCAGCAAATTCCCATTAGTGTTTTGTGTTTTGAAGCAGCGAGAGATGACAGGAGCTCGTATTTCTGGAGTAATTACTGCGTAGTGTAGACATGGAACTGCGGTTGGACGGATGAGGCAAGCAATGTGAAGAGTGGAGACATGGTGAGTGTACCCAAGTGCCGAGTTCGCCGAGGAAGCGTCTGACAGGAATCAGAGGAAGAGGATGGATCTCATACTCGTATCCTCAGAAACCGAGCGCTCTCTTCATTCAGACAGTCAGACTAACTAAAGCACTTCAGCCCAGCCCATCTCAGTCAAGCAGTCCAGTCCCGACGTTCGTTTCAGGTGTTGCCTGCCGCCTGTCGCCCCAAGCCACTCATCTTGACGTTTGATGTTTGGCGTGTTGAAAAGCGAGAGAGAGACCCTCCGCACAAGAGCTCTCATCTCACCATTCTCACGTGTCTGAGCCTGAGCTCTCCCAACGTCCCAACAGCTCGTGGCTGCCGCAGCAGAAACGCCCCCCCACCAATCACAAGCTGCTGATAAAACAAGCCAAGCGGACCATCTCCCGCTGCCCGGCCCTTATGGCGGCCCGAGCGCGGCACAGATCGTCGCGGGCCCAGGCCCGGCAGGCAGTTGTCGGCTGTCGCAGAGTGGGCCCGCTCTCTCAGAGAGAAGCCCGGGCCTCTGTTCTGCATGAAGCGTTGCTGCATGACACATGCCATGGTGCGACATTCATGGCGGGCCGCTCGCAGAGGTACCTCTCTCCCAGTGACGGCGACCTGCGGGTTTTGTGTTTGATGTTTGATAATTGTTTTTTTCATTCCATCATCTGCGGCTTTTTGTCGAAATTTTGTCTTGTTTCCATTTTTTGGGAGCGACACATCAAGAAGAGTTCTGGAGTGATCGGACCCCAGCAGTGACATCGTCTGGTTCCCCGCTGCGAACCATCTTCCCCACCAACGAAGCGAAGCTAAACCTTTAGCTCAACCGCTAAAGTCAACCTCGAACTTTGGCTGCTGCTTTGTTGTTTCACCCCAAAACAAACCACAAAGCGAGACAGAAAGCGGGACTGCAACACACCCTCCCTCCTTTAACCACAAGACGATGCGCGATTGCAGATCGCCAACATGGAGGCGACGCCAGCGACAGCAGCAGCAGCAGGAGGAGCTGGAGGAGTTCTCCCAGAGCCTCTCGAGCGGACCGTCTCGCAACAATCAGCTACCTCGATCCGCAGCGGTGCCGGCCACCGCGGCCGCAGCAAGCGCCTGACTTCGCAACCGTCCAGCTCGGCGTCGTCGCTGGCGCCGTCAGATAAATCGCTGACGTCGTTTCCGTCGTTTTCACCGGACTCGCCGCGGGAGGAGCAGTTGTCTTTTTTTGCTTCTCCGCAGGGGTTCGGTGACGGGAGTGAGGATGGGAATGGGGATAGGGATGAGAATGATAACGATAACGAGGCGACCCCGGTGGCGCCGTCGAGGAGGATATCGGAGCGGGGCTGGTCGGTGTCGCCTTCGGAACGGGGCAGCGGCAGCGGCGGACGGGCTGAGAGCCAGGGGAGGAGGATACAAGACCCATCAGAAGATACGAAATACACCAAGACCCGACCCCGACCCCACGCGCCCTCAATCGACGACCTCCTCACCAGCGCCGTCTCCCCCGCGCGCGACGCCCTCTTCGAAGAAGACGCCGACTCCTCCCGAACTACCAACACCACCCTGAATAACAAGATCCCCGGCGCGCTACACCTTGCAGACGATTCACACATCGAGCGGCTGATCGCGCGGCGTGGCGCAGTCCCGCTGGTGCGGCAGATCGCGGAGGACCTAGCGCACCGGGACGTGCAAATTGCCAAGATACGGCGGCGGGCAGAGGAACGCGAGCGGGCGCTGCGCAAGATTGTAAAGGAGTGTGGGCTGTCGAGTCTGGATTTGGAGACAAGGCTGAGGGCGGTGGAGCAGGAGGCGAGGGTGAATGGGGCGTCGCGGAGGGGGTCCGGAGAGGGGATATCAGAGTTGATGACGGATGCTATGGCGGAGGATGTGAGGGAGGGATATACACCTGGGCACGGATACCCGTTTGCCGCGAGTCATCTCTTGGACGAGGGCACGATCCGGCCGAGTTCGGTGCCGTTGCCGTCTGGGGCGGATGGTGATGCGGCTAAGGGAACGGGTCGCGGGTGGAAGGATTATCTCTGGGGCGGGACGGCGAAGAAGACGAGCCGGGCTAACAGTCTGCTGCGGGAGGCGGCTAGTACCACCAGCACCAGCGGCAACAAACCACCGGGAACGTCGACGACGGTGATCCGGCCCACGCCTGCCGAGCGCCGGCCAGCGTTGCAGGACGATCTGTTCAACCCGCCGGACGAGGGCGGCTCGGCATCGGTGCGCAGCTCTAGTAGGGCATCCAGCATCAACTCGAGCCACACCTCCCGCAAGACGTCGTCGCTGGCTAGCATGGCGCTGCGGCTTGTAGCGGGAGGAGGAGCAGGAGGTAGTGGTGGTTCATCGACGGCGCGCGACAACGAACCCCGCGGACGAGCAACCAGCGCCCAAGTCAGCGGTCCCGCAAGGACAGCGTCCAGCGCCAGTCTCAACACAGCAGCCGGCGGTAGCACCAGAGGCAGCGGCAACAGCACAGTCCGCGCTGTATCTTCCCAAGGCGGGCCGAAAGCACTGATGGCCATGCGCCGACCGCCCGTCTCCGTCCAGGTCCCCTCATCACGCGGACAACCCCAGACCCAGCCGCAAGAACGTTGGGACACGATGACGATGACTCCCGGCGGTGCAGGCGACACAGCAGCGCGAAACCAAAACAACTACGGGCCCGTCGAAATGGACACGATCCTACCCGCCGAAGCCCAGCCGCCGACGCTGACACACATCTACAACAACCACATCGGCTCGGATTTCTTGACCGACCGGTTCGGGTTTATCTACGACCAACGGCGGAAGAAACGCCAACGGGAAGCCGCCCACTCGGCACAGGCAGCGCAGCAGCAGATGGCCGCGCGCGTCGCTCGGCATGCGAAGAAGGGCAGTCGCGCCGAGATGATGATTCACGGCCGCAGTAGCAGCATCCACAGCAGCCACAACACCCTGGCGCGGGAGGAAGAGGACAACGCCAGCGGGCATGTGAGCCTAGGCGGCGGCGCCGGGGGCAGTAACGATCGACCAGGCACGCCAGGATCAACAGAAGAGCCGCGAGGTGGTGATGAGACACCTGCTGCCGTGACAGCCAAGCCCAAGCGGTGGCAGGACTATCTCAAGATAGCGACGTTCCCGACCGAACTGCTCTCGCATACGCCGTCGATTAGTGCGCAGGGATTTGCGGTGCTGGAAGCCGCTGAGGAGCCGGAGTCGCCCAAGTTGCCGGCACCGCCCAAGTCGCCTAGGTCGCCGGGTCACTCGCCGGGGATGGTGGCTGAGGATAGGGGGTTTCTTCCGCCTGCTACGACGACTACTGCTATCCAGCCTCAGCCTGTCGCTGAAACGAATTCGTCGTCGGAGTTGGCCCAGGATTTGTCTCATGAATCATCTAAGGAAGATGCCGAGCCGGTGCGGTTGCTGCTGGAGAATCTTAATAATCTACACGATACCCTCCAGCGCGAGAAAACCGTCCGATGGAACGACTTCCTCCGCAAAGTCCGCGCCGAGCGCAGACGCGACGGGGAAGCCGCAGCCGCAGCCGCCGCAGCAGCAGCAGCATCCTCCGCATCAGCCTCCTCAGCGTCCGCAGCCGAAAGCCAAAGCCGGTTTCAACGCGCCACAGCCGCCATGATGCCCGAGACCCGTCTCAGCGACGGCGAGCTGATCGGTGTCGCCAGCTTGGGACTGCAAGGCAAGATCGGACGGGCCAAAGCCAACGAGTTCCGCGCGCTGGTCCTCGGCGGTATCCCCGTTGCCTACCGCGCCAAGATCTGGGCTGAGTGCTCTGGTGCGCACGCTTTGCGGATTCCGGGGTATTACGCCTCTCTCGTCGCTCGGGGCGACACCGCCCCCGAGACAGAGATAGACACAGGGGGCCCAGAAGCGGACGCAAAAAGAAAAGCAGCCGCCGAAGCCGAAGCCCAAACCACAGCCCAAATCAAAGCCGACATAACCCGCACCCTCACCGACAACATCTTCTTCCGCAAAGGCCCCGGCGTCCCGGCCCTGCACGACGTCCTCCTCGCCTACGCCCGCCGCAACCCCTCCGTCGGCTACTGCCAGGGCATGAACCTCGTCGTCGCCAACCTGCTCCTCCTCACCCCCTCCGCTGAAGACGCCTTCTGGCTGCTCTGCGCCCTGGTTGAATCGATCCTGCCCCCGCATTATTTCGATCATTCCCTGCTTGCGTCCCGCGCTGATCAGGCTGTGTTGAGGGGGTATGTAGCTGAGGTACTGCCGCGGTTGTCAAATCGCTTCGATGAGTTGGGAATCGACCTGGAGACAATGACCTTTCAATGGTTCCTCTCCCTATTCACCGACTGCCTGTCGGCCGAGGCCCTATTCCGCGTCTGGGACGTGGTGTTGTGCTCGCCGCAGGAGGGGGGTAGTTTCCTGTTCCAGGTGGCGTTGGCGTTGTTGAAATTGAATGAGACGGCGCTGTTGGCGTGTGAGAGCCCCGCGGAGGTGTATACGTATATTAATCACCAGATGACGAATCATGCGATTAGTATTGATGGGTTGGTGCAGGCTAGTGAGGGGTTGAGGAGGGTGGTGAGGAGGGAGGAGGTGGAGGTTAGGAGGGCGGCTGCTGTTGCTGCTGAGGGGGGTATTCATACCACTACCACCACCACGGGGAGTACCGAGACTGGAGGAGGGCTGGAAATCAGAGTGGAGGGCATCGCTACTGCTCCCTCCGATGAACCCGAAACGAACGCTAAAACCAACGCTAAACCCTCCGACGGCGAGAGAGAAAGAGAAAGAGGGAGGTCGACATTAGCAGCTACGACGGCAGGACCACCGATTAGATCTGCAGCAGCATCGCCCGCGCCCCCGCAAAAGGCGGAGCCTGTTCTCCCTGTGGTGTCCCAGGAGGTCGTCATGGGCGGGCTTAGCCGGAGTGTGAGTCGGGCGCCGAGTCCGGGGGTGACTAGCCCGGAGTTTGTTTCGGCTGGGCAGGCTTGAGGTCTGCTTTTGGTGGGGATTGGGTGTGACGGGTATCTCTCTCTCTTTGAGTAAGGGAGGCGATATGGAGGTTGATGGGTGCATAGCTAGCTATTCCTTGTTTGATCTCCCTTTTTACTTGCTCTTTACACTACACTCCCTTTACCAGTCCTTTTTCTGTTCTCGCTTCTGCTTGTCTCTTCATTCTCTCTAGCGCGCTCTCTCGTTTTTATCTGTCTCTCTCTCTCTCTCCTTACATAGACAAGACTTCAAAGTCTACGATACCCAACGCTTTCTCTTTTTGTCGTCTCATTTTCTTTTGAAGTTTGCTAGGAGGCGATATATGATCGGGTGAGTTAGTGGGTGTTGAGAAAGAATAAAGGCAAGAAATAAAGGCAACGAATATATGCTGAATATCAATGACTGTTGCCTAGTAGGTAGGTGTGTGTGTGATGCTCATCTTTGATGTTCAAATATGATCAGTGGTATGTGGATTGCCTTGAGTAGGGTTTAATTTACTCACTACTCAAAGTTGACACAAGATTCGAAGGCGTCTTTAGTGGTACCGTCATTGTAATGGCTCTAGGCAATCTGCCTCCTTCTTACAAGACCCAACTCAAGGAACCTTTGACTCGCCCTAGGATAAGGTGATCGTGCTGAAGCCAGACTGCCCCCTTAGCTGGTGTCCAAAGAAAAGGATTTGCTTGTCCGGCCTGGACAAACCGCACCGGCTATAATTTAACCACTTCGTTGCTGTCTCCCAGCATCTACCAGTATCCTCCTCACTTCCTCTCCATCGGAAGATTCTTACTGCCCATTTTTCTCCCCTAACTTCCCAAAGTCAACAGCAAGATATACACCAAATAACCCGCCCTTCTTGGCACACCCCAACCACCATGCCCAACAAACCCCCCGACCCGAATAGCCCTAGTGCTTCAGACAGCCCAAGCACTCTGGACAACACCCCCGTCACGATCAACGACGTCATGAACACCGCCGGTGTGGGCTCCCTCATCTTAAGCTATCTGGACAACGACATGGATGATATACGCGACGTGGCACTTGTCAACCATGTCTTTTATCGCGCGGCCGAACCCTATCTCTGGAAGGGGATCTGGGTGCCATATTTGGACTCCCCGCCGGAGGAACCAGACTGCGAAGAAGAAGAAGATGATGGTGGTGGTGAACAAGAAGGAGAAGAAGGTGGAGAAGAAGAAGGAGAAGGGGAAGAAGAAGATGGGGAAGAAAGAGAGGAGGGCGACGAATACCTCGCCCGGACCGCCCCCTTCTGGGAATGGTACGGGGAACACCTAAGACTTCACACGCGCTCCCTGGTGGTGGATCTCAAATTCATCAATCCCGAGCTCTACGAGGCCCTTGATAGAATTGGCTACTTCAGGCGGTATAAGGTGCGCGGGCGTACCGACCACCTAGCCAAGCTCGACGTATTATATTTTGGGGCCAGGAAAGTTTTAGCCCAAACAAAACACCTCGTCAAGTTTACGGCGAGAAATGTGCCTGGGATGCAGGACCTCGTCAAGTTGGTTCATTCATGTGAGCTTTTACATTCTCCCCTATTCTCATATTGTAACAATATAGACCTGCTTGGAGGATCTAGGTCACCTAGCCAACCCTCCTTCCTCAAAGACCACCCTGATATCCAAGAGCTAGAGTTCTCAGGCGCATTACGCGATCCTGTCGGACTCTACCTGATCCGCAAACACAAACCGCGGCGCTGGTGGATGTCAACGATTCTCAACCAAGCGTCCTACCCGCTTACCAACCTGAGTTTTCCCAACCTCAGGATTCTGTCGTTGACCGATCTGAGGTATGGCTTCGACGGCGATCATGGAGAACAGCTAGATCTGGTCCGTCTGGTGCACCTTCTGGGCAGTGCGCCAAACCTCGCCCATCTGAGGCTCTCTTTATCCAACGACGGAGGGGATCCCGAACTCGAACACCCGCTATTCGGTATGCCTGGACTTATCAACGGATACTGTCGGAAACCCTCTCACTTTCTCTCGCATCTGTGCAAGGAGTATAACCGCCCCTGCTTCCAGCCGCTCCAACTGCAGACTCTTTGGCTCGGCTCGGGATGTAATGTCAAACGCAGAAAGGACCCAACCAGTCGACTTCGGAGACTGGTGGATTTCGACTGCCTGGAGGAACTTCACGTTGAGAGGCCGGTCCCCAGAGACGGCACTGCTTGTAGTGAGACGGCTGAATCTACTTGCCTTGGAGAGCGCCCTCCAGAGGACTTCATCCGATGCCGCTGGGTACAAACCATCAATGTCGGCGGGCTATCAAGACTCCGTAAAGTTACTCTTACTTGGGGGCAGGGAAGGCTGTTTTGGGAACTCTACGGACATCCCAATCCAGCTTTCCACAACCTCACGCTGCGCAAAGACCCGAGTCCGAAGTATACGATCAGGATCACGGAGGAGTGTAACCAGTGGCTCGACATGTGTGATATCTTTGACGGAAAAGATTACCGGAGCCTTCTTCATTCCTCGCTGAATCTAAATGGGCTGGTGCTTCCCACCGACGGGACCAGCCCAGATGAATCGATACAGTTCGTACACTCCGTGCTAGTACGGGCGCCTGGCTTGAAGGCACTCAAAATTCGCCTATCCAATGTTTCAGCCATCCTCAAGGGTAACCTGGGCGAAAGGTCTACAAAGCGCAAGTCTTATGCAACAGGTACATTGTGTATGCCAAGCCGAAAGCCGCATCCCGGCCGCGATCCGCTAGAATTCTGGAACATCCTTTCTAAGATGACTCTTCTGCGTGAGCTCTGGCTGGCCGATGGTCTGGGGGATTGGGACCATATGGTTCGTCGGAGCAAGCGCGTCAATGAGCCCTTCCCAAATAAGGACACAATCCACCGGTTAGTCCCGGATATTATTTATCTGTTGCCTAACCTTGTTTATTTGCGCATCCTCGACCGTGCCTGGCATGTCAAGTGGACAGCCCCTGGGTGCCTCGACCCGTACTTGGATCCGGCGGTTGTCAAGGAAGGGTACCATGTTTGCCACCTGTACGGGACCCGGTCGGGCAAGCGCCAGTACTTGATGTGGCGCCAAAAGGTTCCCCAATTTGACTGATAAAGCCCTTGATGCGCTGCGAAGTTGATCGGTGCCTCCCTGACGCCTTTGACTGGGGTCCTCCCAAGGTTGAGCTTTAGCCGCATTTCCATAGCGAGCTAGTAAGTTCATGACAGGAGCGAAGGACTCGCCTGGGACCGGAGGTAAATCGGGGGTACATAGCCGTTAGAATGCTGAGAGTGAGGGGGCCGATGTGTATAGGAGGAATTCCCACGGCGGTGGTTATGCCGCTTGCTTCTGTCGGTGGGTGCGTCCTGTCCCACGGAGGTCAAGAGGATGATGTGCGGGACAACACCAGATGTCCAGGAGCTCCGCGGGTTTCGATTTTGCGTTAGGGTAATGACTAAGCCGGAAAATTTAGAATAGGAATGAGCCCTCTACGCCTTCCCAAATGGTTGAGGTTGAGATAGGTGAGTGTCATGTGATTGAGTTGACTGGCCAGAGAAGGAGCAATTATTGCTGAAGTCGGTGGATATCTCGCCAGGCTGTTCCTTCCATTTCTAGGTATTTCGAGTATTTCTGAGTAGGTGTAGAGTATCAACGACGTCCATGCCTTACGTTGACCGATGGACACCTCCATCCAGCCCATCTCCAACCTCCTTCACGCCCTAACAGCAGACCCAGCCTCAACCATCCTCCACCACCTCTCCAACCTCTGCACCCCTTCCCGGCACCACTTCAACCGTCCCGGCTCACCCACCCACCACTTCTCACCGCCCTCCAGCCCATCACTAACATATTTCCTCAACGACGCGCCCTCAAAATAGTGGTTCTTCACCCCCAGCAACAACACCACGGTACCCTCGCGCGGCGTAAACTCATCGGGGTCAAGATACACGGTTAAAAGCATACCCTTGGGTAGGGCTGTGGAAGCAGCTGTGGTACTCGTGTTGTCATTCGCGGGGGGTGGGGTGCTGAAATCAGCGATACGTGCTGTGCGCTGACGGAAAGAGGGGCCGATGTGGGAGGGCTCGACCGGACCGAGATGGAAAAGGACGGCGAGGACGTTGACCATCCAGTTTTGGCGGTATGGGAGGTGGGCGATTTGGGAGAGGAGGGTGAGTTTGACGGGATTAGCGGCTGTCGTGGGTAGCCAAGGGCGAGGTTTGGTTACTGGTGGGTGGGGACGCCGTGGTGGTTGTGCGGGATGTTGAGGTTGTTGTTTTTGTGGTGGTTGCGGTGTCTCCTGGTGAGGAGGGTGAACTTGGGCGTGAGATTTGTGGTCTTGTTTGTTCTGCTCGATAATAGCCGCTTGGAGATCTTCCCGCGGGTCGCGAGCGGCAAGATCTGCACGGCGCTGTGTTGCTCGTTCAGCTGAGATGGCGAGTTTTTCGAAGGCGGAATCGGAGTCGGAGATGTATTCCATACTCCCAAAGTCCTCTTCCGGTGCTGTCTTTTCCGACTTGGGCTCTTCTGATTCTGCTTGTATATCTTTGGCGAGTTCCAGTAAATCAGACTCATCCACAGCCATGAGTTGGTCGATGATCTCGTCGTTCTCGTACTCTTCAGCCTCGTCAGGGGGATCCAACATATCGCCTCCCACTATCGTGATATCCGCTGTATCGGCCTCCCCTGCTGCATCCGTTTTCTGCGCTATCCCCGGATCCCCCACCGTCTTGTTCTTTTCCTCCTCCTCCTTCTCCCTAACCAAAATGCCAAGGTACTCCTCATTCCACCCAACCGTAACCATATCCCCAATGACCAAATACACCACCTCCTTTCTCGGTTGTTCTCTCTCCCTGACCTTGCCATTCCCCCCTTCTTTCTCCCGTCCCTTACCCCCCTCCAACCTCCCCATACCCCCAACCTCATTCACCCCCCCCTCATCATCAACCTCCACAGCCCCCACCCAAAACTTATCCACCCTCACATAACACCCCTCATAAACATTCCCCCCATCCACAAACCCATGAATCTCCCCTTTCACAAAAGCCTGCATACACAACTCCCTGTCCCCCAAAATCAACCTCACCGTCCTTTCCGGACGAGCCCGATACTTCCGGTGGCGTCTTCGTTGCCGGCGACGTTCCCGTTCCCCCACTAGCATACCCATCCCCCCGCCGGTGGGAGGGATACCATCGTCATCGTCTGAGCTTGCATCATCGGAATCGACTTCGGGGATGGAGATGTTGGACTCGATGGATTCGACTAGGAAGATTGAGCCGGGGACGCAGTAGCGCGTGCGGAGAATGTCGGCTATGAGGGGAACTGGGTGGAGGGGGGTGGAGGGGTCGAGGGAGATGATGGGGTTTTTGTTTGGGGAGGGTTCTTTGGGATGGGGGTTGTGTTTGGCCATGTTGTGTGATGGTTGGTTTTATGTCGAGGGGTTGGTTAATAGGTGGGGTTTTGTTAGGATGAGGGGGGTTTCATCATGTTGTCGTTGTATGTGAGACTAGAAGGAGGATAGCAGAAAACATGAGGGTGTTTTGTTTACATGATGCGGACTGGGTGTGGCCTGGCAGCGATTGGCAGGCGAGTTGGAGGAGCATGTTCTGAGGTGCAGTGTGAACTTCGGAAAGATGTCGTTGCGAACCCTAACCCGGAGAACAACACCATGTCACATCCACATTAACGAGGCGCCGCGACATTTCAGATTCTTACAAAAAGCAAATTCGGGGACGCACCAAAATGGAAAGAAACAGAAGGGAGTCGGCCCCGGGCTAGAGGCGTGTCACGAAGAAAAAGCAACTGAGCCAGCGTTACGCAGACTCAGAGGGCTACCATGGACTATCACAACAAACTCATCCGCTCACTTCGTAGGTATTCCGTCAGGTATCGAAACTAGCTAGCTCTCTATTAAGCACGGAGGGCCGGGGGTGGTAATTAGTGAAAAAGAAAAGAGGCAACAGATATACGAGCGAAGCAGCTTGGGATACTAAAAGAAAATAAGGGGAATGAAGCCATCCACGGAGTACGATTGCCAACAAAGACGTAAAAACCGTAGGCCAATGGGGGTATGACCTGTTAAACCGCATCGAATTGCGCCGCGCTGTCCCTCCCCACAACCTTTGCCTCAGACGCCGCCTCCGCAGTGGCCTACGGACTGTGGCAAAGTGTTTTTTCGCCGGGATATCAAAGTTTGGCGGTCGTCAGACCAAAGAAGCAAACAACGAGGGGGGAGTGTGCCCCGTGGTTTGGAGAAGAAAGAATCGCCGTCGCCTTAGTAGCCGTTCATAGTGACCCGTTGCGAGCTGCGGCTCAGTTCGCGGTCGGCCGACGGGCTGATGGGCCGGCTGCCGCCCTGCGCGCTGCTCTCCTTGAGTGCCAGCAATTGCTTGGCGCGGAAGGTCTCGTAGTGGATCTGAGACGTCGTCTCGATGAGATCCTGCAGGTGCGTGCGAAGCAGGAAGTTGCGGAGGTAGACGAATTCGCAGTGGTTCTCGTCCTCCACGTTGATAACACCCCACCGGTTCTGGCGGCCCCGGACCTGCTTGCCATTGACAATGATGGACTTCTCGGAACCGACAACGGCGAAGGGGATCAAGCTCTGGCCACTCGTTAGCTGCTGTCGCGCCGGTAACATGTTAGACCACGATCCACAAAAGAAAACCCACCTTGATCTGGTTGTTAACCGTGATTTCCTCATCATCAAACTCATCGTTATCGTAGGGGTACATCTTCAAGTTGTGGAACGCAAACTCCTCCTTGATACGTTCCTTGAACAGCTGGCGCTCCTCGAGGGTAAGGGTGTCGGCCTTGGCAATCACAGGAACGACATTGACCACATCGGACAGCTTCTTCAGCACGACAATATCGATCGGCTTCAGGGAGTGGCCCGAGGGCTGAATGAAGAACAGGCAGCAGTGGATGCGCGTGTCCTGGATGTAGCGCTCACGCTGCGCTGTGAGCTCCTTCCGCAGGTAGGCGGAGTGCTGGTCCTTGATGTACTTGACGATGGGGTCCCAGCACCGGTCGTTGTTGATCAGATCCCCGTAGCCGGGGGTGTCGACGATGTTGAGGCGCAGCCGGACGCCGTTCTCCTCGATGATGTGCGAAACGGACTGGATCTCGGTGGTCGAGCGGATCACCTCGTCGGGGTTGAGGCGGCCCTTCGACTCAATGAGGTGCGAGGCGAAGATGGTGTTGATCAATGTCGACTTGCCTAGACCCGTCTGGCCTACAACGCGAGAACACGTCAATGCTGCACCGGAATACGAGGCGGAGAGGCACAGCTGACAACCGCAAGAAGGTGGAAGAAACGGGGGAATAGTGCGTTCACTCACCAACGCAGATGACATTGAACTGGAATCCACGCTTGAGCAGCTTGCGCTCAATCTGGGATGTGATGCTGTCGAAACCGACATGGCTTTGGGGGTAGATGGTGGCAGCAGGCATGGACGCCATTGTTTCGGTTGTTGGATGCTGGTGAGAGCTGCACACGAGGTCCTATTCCAAAAAGTAATCGAGAATTGCTCGTGGCGACGAGACAAGACGGGTCGGAGATAGAAACGACGCGGTCCGCTGGCGGCGTATTGGTATTGAGCTCGGGTGGAGGCGGTCGGGCAAAGATGTTGAAGGGGAATTTCGTCGTCCCTTCCCGGCAGCAGCTTCTGTCCAGCAATAATTTCCCAAGGGGTCGCTGGGCTGGCTTGGGGAAAGGGGGAGGGAAGTTGGTCGCCAGTGATTGGCCGATGGGGATCATGCCCCAGGCACAACCCAAATCTGGTTAGACCATGCAGTGGCATCCGAGCTCTGAGGGACCGTGCCACCCATGCTCCGGGACGTGAAATCGTGGAAGTTTCCGCTGCCGATATTTTTTGAGGTGACCCAAAAGAGACTGCGATTCATCACGGCGGACATCCGGTGACACGACGACAGGGAATGCAGAGGCCGTGACCTCTCAACGAAGGAGTACAACAACTTTGGAATAACGGGCCGGCCCACGGACTCCCGCCAGCCTACTACCGACAACTAGACGCCGATTCTCTGTTTTCTCGATACCCCACCTCATCAGTCAAGATGGCTTTGGCCGCCCCGACAATGAGGATGGCCTCGTCTGCCTCTCTCCACCCAAGACTTGTAAACCCTTTCTCGACATCCAGGATACAGTTCCGCATGCAGAATGTTGCGCTCCCATTATTCCCGTCCCTCACACTTGCCGTCCCCGTCGGCCTCCAACTCGGCCTCCCACCATTAGGATCGATCCTCGAAGACATTTGGGAATCCGTTCTCAAGGCAGTACCAAAAAAGAAGACGTCTCACATGAAGAAGAGGCATAGGCAGATGGCAGGAAAGGCGCTCAAGGACGTGACCTCGTTGTGCAAGTGCCCGGCTTGTGGGGAGATCAAGAGGATGCATTATCTGTGTCCAAACTGCGCAGCTAGTAAGGCAAACCGACACCATAGCCAACGTTTCGGTACTAACTAGCGGGTAGAGCTTAAGGGCCTAATGAACCGGGAAGCAAAATCGGCGACGACAACCACCACCACGAGCGCCACGACATCGACGGGGGCTGGCGCGGCTTAGGAGGACTGGAAACAATATGGGGAACCTGGACTGATGAATTTCTAGGCCGGCATGGGGCTGCCAATTGGAGCGGCGGAACAAACTTTGGGATGAAAGATAGTGATGACATTTGTTGTACATATATTGTAACACTATCACCGGAATTGGCTCTTTGAGTCTGGTATGTTCGGGTAAGAATTAAAACGAGCAATAGCAAATTTTTGTACAAAGAAATCCCGCCGCCCTTAACTTCGTAAAAGAGCCCTATTCTCGCCCAGAGCATGTCAATCCATGACTTCAACGAAAATTAGCAAACATGCTCTGCCATTAAACATTGAAGGGGGTGGCACGTGTGGTGGTATTACCTCTGAAATGTAACTTGGTTGTTGACGGTTGCGGTGCCTGCCCAGAAACCAGCCAGTAGCTACCCCACCATCAGAGCTGCAGCTTCCACGCCGGCCGCGTTGAGACCCTGCAACAACTTCAAACTATACCGTCGTAAACAACCCGAAAACAACCACCGTTTATGGAGAGGTGACAATGGCAAGTGCATCCGGTCACTGCGTCAACCAGCATTTACTAATATTTCCCAGTCGAAACAATACCTCACCGCCCACACAGTGGACGAAGGTGCGCATCAACAACCCCGCGATTGAACCTCCCTCCAACCCACCTCGTAAACAAGCGCTTCCGCTAACCCAAACTCCCTCAACTCACAGCCCACCCAGCCGAGATCTTCTCCCTCGCGCCAACACCAACCGCCGTGCTCTCCGCCAGCGGCTCCTCCTCCCTCGTCGTCCACGACACCACCCAAGCAACTTTCCCCCTCCAACAAACAATCCCCAACGCCCACAAACTCGGCTGCCACCACATATGCACCGCCCGCGGCGGTCTCGGCAACATAGCCGCGAGCGTCGGTTTCGGCGGCGAGATCAAAGTCTGGTCCATTCCCAAATCTGAGGACGGCGGCAGTAGCAACAAGGAATGGAGCCTGCAGTGGGAGCTCGCGCCGACCAAGACGGGCGGCGGCGATGTATGGGCTGTGGCGCTCAGCGCGGATGAGGGGTATCTTGCGTGTACGACCAGTGATGGTAGGATTCATGTTTGGGATATACAGGCGCAGGAGAAGATTCAGACGTATGAGACGGGTGCGAGGGGCAGTGGGAGCTTTGCCATGGCGGTGGATTTAAGTAGGGACGGAAGGTTGACGGCGAGTGGGCATGAGAGTGGTGGGGTGTATGTGTTTAATAATGATGCGGGAAGGATGGTATATTCGCTCTCTGGTAGGTTGGTCCAGGATATGTTGTTGGGTGGGTGTCTTTGTCCACGTCCAGCTTGGCTAACATCGGCGTACAATAGGTCTCTCCAAGCCTGTCAGGACCGTCGCCTTCTCTCCCGGGTGCAAGCGTCTCGCTGCGGCCGGAAATGCGGGCGTCATCGCAGTTTACGACATGGAGCACGGCGAGCACGTAGGCAACCTCACAGCACCGAGCAGCAGGCCCGCGTGGATCACATCGCTGGATTGGAACGATACAGGCGAATATCTATTGACGGCGTCCCTGGATGGCAAGGTCAAGGTTTGGGACGCGGGGAGGAGTGTTTGCGTGGCAACCCACAGTGAGACGGACACTGCGTTATGGAGCGCCCGGTGGCTCCCCAAGACGGAGCGGGCGTTAGGCCCGGGTATGGGGAAGAGCGAGCTGTTTTGTGCGGCTGGCGCGAGCAGGAGTATTACGTTCTACCGGGAGGCTACTGGGTCTTGAACAGTGGTCAGGGAGGGTTTTGAGAGATGAGGGGGATTTGCTAGGACCATTGCTTTAGATAAAGGCGCCAGGTGTCAGGGAAAGAAATGGATCGTGACTACCAAAATAGTGTGACCTAGCTGAGCCGAGCCACGGCTGTGTTGGTTTGTCTAATGTGTTCTTCAGCGAGGTGTAAGATATCTAAGAGGTTGAAGCGATATCATGATCAAGAACACTCATAACGGTTACCAAAAGAACTCATTAGCCTACCGACGACCGGTTGACGGTATTTATCGAGTTTGTTTACCAACGTTCTGTACGTACTATCCATCGCCATTTCTTCCTCCCTGCCCCTCCCTTGTCTGCACCCCCCGAAAAGAGATTATTTCTCCGTCTTACATTTTCGGAGATAGTGAGCAGCGCAAGTTACAGCCCATTTTCATTCACCGTTCCGACTTCAACAAAGTCCCTTCGCAGGTACAAAGAAAAAAAATGTAGCCATCGTTCACACAACTAATTCAGGGTTACAATGTTCGGTTCTCTTATTGGATAAGTCAAACCTAAAAAGATTATATATTTGAGCGGCGCCGGTGTAACGAGGGTTTTCCTATGCTCATGGGGGAGAAAAATGGCATTATTCTCTGGGTATATGATCATCTCTCATGTAACTGCAGTTGCTAAGCCCGCAAGCAAGTTTCAGCTTAGCAAACTGCCCGGTTTTGAGTTTTGTGTTGATCGTCCACCCGGCGGGTAATACGTTCAAGGCATTCCTAGCTTTGACATGTAAAGGTTCTCATGGGCATATCTCAGGGGCGAGGCGAGCATGTATTGAGATTCGAGATAAAATGTTGCTGAATCTTGGGTTTTTGGTGGTTGTCCGTTTGGAATGTTAGTACTAACACTTTCCCACCAAACTTCTATAGTAATTTGTTAGGGTACTCACTCTCATTGATCACGTGAGTTGGCGATTGGTCGCGACAAGGCACGTTGCCCCGCCAGCGACTGGACCGAGAATGGAACAAGAGCTGCAGCAGCCTAGGATTTGAGCCGACCACCATCCTGGCGCCAACTTCTCCTCCCCGATCGGCTAATTTTGAAATTTCACCACCACCGCCCTCACCCTTTTCCTCAATCGCCCTTTTCGAATCGACTTATTCTAGCCTTTCCATCAATCTCAATTTGGTTCTTACACAACGACTCCAAAAAAGAAACCCTTTTCAAAAGTCGCCCTTGACGTCACCAGCCAAAATGGTCACCACCCGACGCTCAACCCGGTCTTCGTCTGGCCCCGGCGCCGGCAAACAACAGACCCTCAGCTTCAAGCACAAAGTCACCAAGGCCATACAAACCGGCAAAGAATCCTACAAATCGCCCTCCCGCGCCCGCGAGTACATTCCCGACCCCTCTCCCGAGCCGACGACAGAGGTCCCCGCCACCCCGAGCAAGGCGCCTAAGACCCGCGAGGGGCAGACGCCGGCGCCGGTTGTTGGTGAAGAAGATGAGACTGAGTTGGTGCATAAACCCGAGCTGAAGGAGGAGCAGGAAGAGGAGGCAGAGGAAGAAGAAAAGGTTAAGGCTCCTGTGGTGCCCGAGAAATCGGAGGCTGAAGCTAAGGCGGCTAAGACGAGTGACCGGGCGATTGAGAAATATTGGGAGGGGATTGAGTCGAGCCGGGAGGCGCGAGCTGTGCATCGGAAGCATACAGAGGGCTTGGCGACGGGGGAGAAAGTGCTGCGGTACTTTGACGTGAGCTCACAGTATGGGGTGAGTTGTTTTCTTTTGTTGTGTTCCCATTGCTGGTTGGACAGCGACGGATGAAGCTGACCAATTCTTATTGTACAGCCCTGCATTGGCATCTCACGCCTAAAGCGTTGGCAGCGGGCGCAGAGGCTGGGTCTGAACCCGCCTGTGGAGGTCCTTGCTGTGTTGTTGAAGGAGGAGGGGAATAAGGGTATTGAAAAGGCGCACATGGATGAGCTGCTGAACTCGGCTGCTGTTGCCTCGGTTGGTGCTTGAGTTTGGGCGTCGAACACAAGCGCCCTTGGGATTTATGAGGAGAGTGTATGAAGAGCGAGTACACCCATGATGGCTTTGCGGGCTGGCGTTTTTGGGAGTTTGGGAAGGGATTTGTCTAATCCTGTGTTTTCTATCTATTGTCGTGAGATCTTCTAGCTCTACCATCCGTTCCGGATGCTTGCACCATCTAACTAGCTAGCGACGAGCTATTTCCCTTTGAAATGAAAGAAGCAAGCGGTCGGGTTCAGTACCAGATGCTCCGTGTTCGATGGTGGGGAGCCACCTCCTTGCCTTGGTCCTCCATCTCCTTTATTGTGTCATAGAGGAAGAAGTCCATGAGAATGGCGTTTATCTGGGTGTCTGGGTGTTGTCTGACGATTTCCTTGCGGAGCAGTTCCACGCACCAAATGCTGCAAGCTGAAAGGGGTGTTAGTATTGAGAGTCTGCTTAGTAGTAGACAGGTAGACGTACCTCTGAGTTGCATCTCCCAGCTCCCACCCTGCGGAATATCTTTCTTGGCCCGTATTGCTGCCTCCAGCGGCGGGCTGTAAAAGAGGCACCCCATGTTGTTGAGAATCTGCGGTATCCGATAGTCCGCAAACATGGTGATTTTGTCGATATCGCGGAACTCGCCATAGTCCTCCCCTTCAAAGCAGGCCCACAGGTCTGCGACCAAGATCTGCGCCCGTTTGAGGAAACGGATTGGCTTCCGCCGCCCTTCAAAGGGATGTTCGTCGCGGAAGCAGTCAAAGTCCTTTGCCAGCAGGTTGACTAATGCTGCGGCAGATCCGTCGGCAGCGTCAATCAGCTTTATGGGACTGCAATGGTATTTCTGCGGCTCTATGTTAGTCACTGAAGCGACAAAGAATGAACTTAGAGAGTCCAACGGCAGGGAGCATACTTCATACAGCACCTTGCCGGCTTCGCGCAAGCAAGCTAGCCGTTCTTCCAACAGCGGCATTTGCTCGTTTGTGGAGCACCGAAAAACGTTTTTGAGGACGTCCAGCGTGCACTCATCTTCACTTTGCCAGAAGTGGGGGTCCGTGATGGGAATGCCTTTTTGAAAGAAAATATTAGGGCCATATTCAGTTTATTAACGGAGTAGTATTCTACACAACCAACGATTAAGCCCATAGCAGCTAGACCACAGCCGTTGGTATGGAATACAGCAATGAGACTTTCGCGGGGAAGCACAAAGAAAAAAACCAAAACCTACCTTCGTCCAACGCCCGCCGCAATGCAGCCACCAAGCTCCAGTACCCAGTCCACCGTTTGCCGCCGTACTCAACCGCAAACCGGTCCTCCTCCTTCTTCTCACTCCAAAACGAGAAGTTGAGCAGGTCCATGGTAAAGATGAAAGCGACAGTCTCCTCATCGCCTAGCTCCCAGCGGTCCGGGTGCAGTTCGTGAGACGACCAAGTCGCAGGCGAGTACTGCTTCTCCTTCATCTGGGCGTAGATGGCTGCGGCCGCGTTCTTGCAGGAGCGCATGTCGAGTGCGACGTCGATCGAGTTGTCGTACACCCACTCCGCGCCCTCGAGAACCCCTGTCTCGGGCTCTTGGTTGAGGGTGAGCTTCCCTTGCATGTGCTGCCGCAGGAGCTCGAGGAGCTCGTGGTCGGGCTCGTCGTCAGACATTTTCTTTCTGGGTGGGCTGGAGTGTAAAAAAGATGAATGGGAGAAAAATTTGGAGGGATGTGGCAAAAATGTTGGTTGAAGTTGAGCAGCGTTGGAGCGGTGGAAGGGTTGTGGAAGATGGTGAAAGTGAAAGTTACGGTGGGAATTGTTGAAAAGGGGGAACGTGCACTGAGATTTGAACACCGATGCTCTCACTCGATTGTGCGAAAGAAGAAATACCATAACGTTCATGTCATTTTCGGCTTTATGCAAAGAAACCTGAAGATCGTTGGACCCTTTGGTTTTGTGTTTGGTGGGTCGGAGGTTCAGAAGTACATATCAATCTAGGATGCTGTGTTAAAAAAACTTTACGGATATTGTGACTTTGGAGGGAGTTTTACTTTTTGGGGGACCGAAATCTTTCAAGATTCAAGTGGTTGATGTCTCTTCGGCCTGACTCCCAGTTCCTGGCCGTAAGAAAAGGTGGGTCTACGGCTGAGTAACTATCCGTAGGGCGACCAATAATCTGAGAAACTTTGGCAGCTAGAAAAGACGAGCAAAACTCGCGGCGGTTGGTGTTCAGAGGCGAGGGCGAATTGCAAAGTTGAATCGGCCCGGAAATCTGTTCATGCCTTTTAAGGAGGACTGGCTAAAAATCCTCTTGAACCAGATGCTCGTCTCTCCCTTGCCGACCCTGGGTTCCTGCATTGATGCGAGGTGCAAGGCCGCAGCATTGGGTGCTGTGGGGCTGGCGCTTGGACCAGTTGCTTTGGAAGCCCCACATAAGGGACAAGCTGGAGGTGCGCCTCATCTGTGGTCCTGCTGAGCTCTCAGAAGAAACACCACTAACAAGCCCCAGGATTGGAGAGGTTCTGGAAGACAAGAGCTCGTTCCTTTCGCAAAAGCCATGCCAATGGCCATATCGTAACATTCTTTTATTTTATTAATTCACATTTTATGACACAGTAGTCTTACCTGCCCTTTATTTGGTCAGCCTTGCGTCATGAGCGCGGCAACCAGCATAAACACCACGGCGGTACCCGCTGCACCGGGGACGCCGGTTCCTCCCGTGGTTCCTGTCCTGGTGCCGTCTGCGGCGCGCGATACCTTTAACTCACAGTCGCTGGGGCGCGGTTTGAATGCGCATGTTAAACAGGTCGGTACCCGGGGTTCTTTCATTTTCTATGGGTTTATTGCGTTCCTGCTCCGTGGACTTTGAAGACACCCATCCAACCATCGACAGATCCACGGTCCACTCAAATTCGTGCTTCCTTGACCCTGTTCTTTCCTTTCTTCTGCACCAACCTTCAAGATTGTGGATTTCATTCCCTTCTAGAGAGGTAACTGGGAGAATCCGGCCTCTTCGTTATTCTCGAATTTTCCGTTACGCATTCGACGCCATGACCTCATCCGCCATGAAACTTGACTCGGAGATATCGCTAACCACGGTACAACAGTCGCGAGTGTTGATGGTTGGCGCTGGCGGCATTGGGTGCGAACTTCTTAAGAATCTCGTTCTTACTGGATTTGGGGAGGTACATGTTGTCGACCTTGACACAATCGACCTCAGCAACCTCAACCGCCAATTTCTCTTCCGTCAGGAACATATTAAGAAATCGAAAGCATTGGTAAGAAATCTCATGAGTCAGAGAGTCCTTATGTCAGCTTGTTCTGTGTTGACTAACCGGTATCAGGTTGCGAAAGAAGTTGCCGAAAAGTTCAATCCAGCAGTCAAGATTGTCGCCCACCATGCCAACATCAAAGACGCCCAATTTAACATTGCGTGGTTTAGCAGTTTCAGGATTGTCTTCAACGCGCTCGATAACTTGGAGGCCCGGCGACATGTCAACAAGATGTGTCTAGCTGCGGACGTGCCGCTGATTGAGAGCGGCACGACCGGGTTCAACGGCCAGGTCCAGGTCATCAAGAAGGGTGTGACGGCCTGCTACGACTGCTCACCTAAGGAGACCCCGAAATCCTTCCCAGTCTGCACCATCCGCAGCACACCAAGTCAGCCGATTCATTGCATCGTTTGGGGCAAGAGCTACCTCCTCAACGAGATCTTCGGAACAAGCGAGGACGAATCCGCTTTCGACCACTCATCTGATGCCGACAACGCGACCGAGATCGCCGAGCTCAAACGGGAGTCGGAAGCGTTGAGAAAGATTCGCCAATCGGTTGGGACCCCTGATTTCCACCAGATGCTATTTGACAAGGTGTTTAACGCCGATATTGTTCGACTGCGGTCCATGGAGGACATGTGGAAGACGAGGCGTCCACCAGAGCCACTCGTCTACAAGGATTTGCTGGAGAAGGCGTCGAGGGTCTTGGCAAACAAGGAAGCCGTTGTCAAAGACGATCAGAAAGTCTGGTCGCTGGAAGAGAACTTGGTTGTCTTCAATGACAGCCTTGACCGTCTGAGCACTCGCATCTTGGATCTGAAGCAGGCGGGCCAAGACGCCATCATCACGTTTGACAAGGACGACGAGGACACGCTAGACTTTGTGGCTGCGAGCGCAAACATTCGATCGGCGCTGTTTGGCATCGACGGCAAGTCCAAATTCGAGATCAAGCAGATGGCGGGTAACATCATTCCCGCCATCGCTACCACGAACGCGATCGTAGCCGGTCTCTGCGTGCTCGAGGGGTTCAAAGTGCTCAAGGGCGAGTACGACAAGACCAAGGAGGTGTTTTTAACCCCGTTTGCGCCCGCTCGCCTTCTTGCGTCGGACAGGTCCCGAGAACCTAACCCAGATTGCCCTGTCTGCAGCGTGTTCCAGACTCGTGCCTACGTCGATCTCTCGAGGGCCACACTGAATGATCTGGTGGAGGACTTCTTGAAGTTGGAGTTGGGTTACGGAGAGAAGGAGATCTCTATCAGCAATGAGGTCGGCATTCTTTATGACCCTGACGAGACGGACAATCTCACCAAGAAGCTGAGCGAGCTCGGTACGTTGCGCGGATGGGATATATGCCTTGTTTTGCACACCACTCTGACAGTTTGCTACAGGTATTAAATCGGATTCCTTCCTTACCATCACTGACGAAGATGACGACGAACCCTTCGTCAACGTGGTCGTCGCCATCCAAGAAGCGTAAGTCATGTTCCCCTTTGGCAAGGAGCCCTCCTACCTCCAGCTTTCGTCTAACTTCATCCATCCCATTTACAGCGAGGAACCCCTCACGGACAAGCCCATCCGCGGCATCTCTGAACAAGAGATCAAGATCCCGAACAAACCCAAAAAGACACCCACCCCAGGGGTCGCCGCCTCTTTTACCAACGATAGCACCAAGAACGGCATTGGCCCCGACAATGGCGCCAGCCGACAGCAAAGCGAGGCGGTGTCGGAGGTCATCCCGGCCAAGCGGCCACACCCAGATGATCTAGAGGATGCCGGTGCAGTTGTGAAGAAGGCCAGGACGGTGGCGGGTGCCAAGGGTGGTAACGACGATGATGATGATATCGTTGTTTTGGACGATGCTGCGGGCGGTAGTGCCGCTGGCGGTGGCGCGATCGTCATTGATGATGATTGAGCGGGTAATGCCCTCAAAAGACTTTTTTCCCAGCCCATTCAACGGTCCCTTAACTATTTTCTTAGTCTTGCCTTGCCCGCGATCCATTGCACTCTAGATAACTTACACGGCACTCAAACCGCCGTCAAGGTTGAGCATGCAGTTGTTCGCATACTCATTCTTTACGAGAAAAGCGACGGCATCGGCGACCTCGTCGGGGGTGCCGAACCGGCCGACAGGTATCCTTTCGGCCAGTTCTGATTGCTTCTCGATATCTCCTGTTGGTTCATGGCATATGGACTTTTAGCATTGCTATGCGCGGCAAGGCCGGGGGAAGGAAAGTGGAGGGTGGGAAACAGGGTAGGATATGGACGCGGGCCAGTGGTTTTTGTAAGACAGGAGTAGTGTAAGTAACTAAGGGAACGGGACTCTCGGTTCAAAATGGCAGATTTGAGGATTGGCTCAAGACGAAATCGGAGCACTCACCCTTCGTCATGTTGGTTAAGATGTACCCTGGCACAACCGTGTTGACGCGAATTCGGTGACGACTCAGTTCGTGAGCAAGCGAGGTAGTCAGACCTAGTTGGAAGGGGCAGTCCCCTATGGTAAGCATGCGTGCACCTTTTCTTCTATCATTCGCCTCCTCCGAAACATACCGTGTAGCCCAGACTTGGCAGCAGCATACACCGACGTGCCCTTATCCGCCCTGTACGCGAGCAAGCTCGAGATGTTGATGATACACGCAGATGAGGGTGAAACCCCCTTATCTTCGTCCTTAAGATCCGCATGATCATCATCTTCAGGTAGTTTGGTCGAAGAAGCTGCGCTTTTGGCAGCAGCAATCCGCTGAGCAGTAGCAAGCCGGGCCATGTTCTTGCCGACATATCTGGCTCCGTAGATGGCGCCGGATAGATTGATGGATAATTGCTCGTTTATGCCCTCCTCGCTGAGCTGGAAGAGGAGGGAGCGCTGGGTTTCGCCGGCGCAATTGATGAGGTAGTGTGTTTTGGGCTAGGAAGAGTGGTGTGAGTGAGATTTGGGCTCATTGAACTCAATGGATAGAGCGTTGGGTATGGATGATGAATGTAAGAAGATGGGGAAGAGAAAGAATCACTTAAAGGGGTGGCGTAGGAGGACATAAAACGAAAAATAAAAATAATAATAAATATCAAACCGCATGAACACCGAAATACTTGACTTACATACTTTGCCGCCAATCTTTCCCAGTCCTGCGGCTTGTCCACGCTCATCCGAAAATGTGCATGCTGTTGAATGGGTGTGATCCCTGTAGTCGGGATGGACGATTTGAGCTTTTCGGATGCCGTTTCCAGGTTGCGTTGGGAGCGGCCAACTAGAACCACACTTGCCCCTTCACGGGCGAACCTCGAGGCCACTGCAAACCCGATCCCACCTGCGCCGCCGGTGACAATCGCAGTTTTGCCCGCGAGCGGGAAAGACATGGTGAGTCCCCGTCTTTTTCTCCTGTTTTCGGGATTTATGCTTGATTCTAATTATTGGATTTAAATTTGGCGAGGATTTCCCTTCTTTTGGGGGCTTTTTATTTCACATCAAAAGAAGGGTCGATACTTTTTGATATTAGCTTCCATTTGATGTTTCCTCCGCAATGACAGATCACATGGAAGACCTGGCAGAACAGGGCCTTAGTGAGCTCCGGCGAATCAGCTCGCGTTTTTGGCCGGGCGGTGAACGCGGGAGCTTCTGCCCCTGGAACCACGGGCCAATCAGGCAGCCCTCCGGCAGGCAGGCTTGGCAGGACACCTTCATGGTCCAGTGGATGTCAAGTCCAGTTGCGTGCTGTGCGCCAGGAAGTCCCGGTTCCCGTGGGCCCGACTTTTTTTTCGTCCCGTTGTCTGTCTGACTGCTGTCTGTCCGATGAACGAACCTCGTCTCCTCGGGACCACGACGACATCAATGTCTCACAGCCACCATCGTACCGATCCCGACGTCTCCCCGTGTTTCCGCCGCTGAGGTTCCGTGTGTTTCGGATCCAAACTGGTGACAGTAGCCACGTTTGGATAAAGGTACCTCGGCACGATCACCCGAACGACCGAATTCCCCTCCAATGGGCGCGCCGAGTAGCAGCGCTGCCGCTGGTGCAGCGTCTGCTGAGACCGGCTCGGTTCCCACGATCGTCGAGCCGAAAGGCCAGAAGGATGTTGTCGATGCTGGGTTGAGGAGCTTGCACCATTGTATGTCCATGGTTTTTGCCAATTGCACTCTGGTGTCCAACTTGTACTGGCGCATTCTTATCTGGGATGACCCCAATGTGCTCGTCCGCCCCTTAAATGCCCCGCGCTCTTCAGAGCTTCGTGGCTCTCAACTGAAGGCCTGCGAATACAACCAACCCGTTTGACGGGATGCAAGCATGAATACAAGACGTCAGGACTGACACCCATTACTAGACAAACGCGCTCTTCCGAAATGGCGATACAACCTGCGACAACGACTCCTCCCGATCGTGCGGTGGGAAACACCTTACCTCGCTTACCTCCAGAACCTCATGCGCACGCCCGCGCTCGATAGCTACTTTGCGATTACGGCTAATCTCGGCACACACACTTTCTTCATGGTCGGGCTACCAATTCTTTTCTGGTGCGGCTGGAGGGACTTTGCCAAGGGGTAGGTAGAAACCCGGAACCGCCACCTAAACGGCGCTGAGGGGTCGGACAAAGCCATATCCAATCCAGCTGGGCTGACATCGATGGGGAACTCCTCGATTAACTCAACAGGCTCGTTCATATTCTCGCTGCGGGAGTTTGCTTCACGGGCTTTATCAAGGACATGTGCTCGCTCCCGCGCCCGTTATCGCCGCCGCTCCAGCGTATTACCATGTCCGGCTCGGCAGCCCTCGAGTACGGTTTTCCCTCCACGCACTCGGCCAACGCCGTCTCGGTCGCCGTCTATGCCGTGCTTATGCTCCACCGCGAAAACAATCCGCTCTCCCCAACCGTCTCCCTCGCGTTCGAAGTACTCGCCTACGCCTACGCCCTCTCGATTGTCATCGGCCGCCTGTACTGTGGCATGCACGGCTTCGTCGACGTGATCCTCGGCTCCCTGATGGGCGCAGCCATCTCGCTCGTCGAGTTCTACTACGCACCGAGCTTCGAAAATTGGCTATACGGCAGCGCCTACATCGCGCCCATCGCCGTCGCGCTCGCCATCATCGTGTTCGTGCGCGTCCACCCCGAACCCGCCGACGACTGCCCCTGTTTCGACGACAGCGTCGCCTTCGCAGGCGTCGTGATCGGCCACGAGCTCGGCACCTGGCGCTTCGCGCGCCACTCCGTCTTCGCCGCCATCTACAACGGCCCCTTCGCCACGTTCGACCTGGCCGCCCTCGGCTGGCCGCGCGCTATTACTCGCGTTGTCCTCGGCGTTGCGGCCGTGTTTGCCTGGCGCGGGGTTATGAAACCCACGCTCCTAAAAGTCCTCCCGCATCTCTACCGCGTTATCGAAACCCATGGCTTGTCGCTGCCTCGCCGCTTCTTTGTCCCGGCCTCTGAGTACAAAAACGTGCCGCTGCATGTGCGCGACGACAATGTTCTACCCAACGTCAGCGACTTTCCCAAGCTGGTCCGCAGTTTCCGCGGGCCCGGCCGGGGTCGTTCCGTTAGTGTTGGTCCCCAGAGTGCCGCAGACGCGTACGAGACGCTGGCGTACCGCGAGCGTCGGCGGCGTGAGAGCCTGGGAAGCGATGCCGGCGTGCCGAATAACGTGTCTGCGTCGCCGTCCCCCCCGCCAGGTGGTGCCGGGCTGAAAGGGACGGCGAGCTTGAACGGGCTGAGAGAGAAGGCGGCTGCTGTCGATGGGGCGTATTCGAAGGCGTCGGGCGTGCAGAGCAGTGTTGCTAGTGTGGCGGGGTTTGAGAAGATGATGGGGACGGGGACGGTGGTGGCGAGTGCGAAGCCCGATGCGCCGGGGCCGAACTCTACCGAGGGGGTGGATTTCTATTTGGGGCAGGAGGATGAGTTAGGGGAGAAGGAGGTTTTTTCGAAATTGGTGAAACCGAGAGTGAGGTATGATGTGGAGGTTGTGACGAAGTTGGTTGTTTACGCTGGTATGTTTCCTTTTCCTTCTTTTTGCTATCTTTCATGATTTACTCGTTATGATTGGGCGAGACATGCATGATACTAACCATTCTGCGCAGGGATCGGATGGCTAGCAGTTGACGGCTGTTTGTCGCTGTTTGAACTGGTCGGCTTGGGTGCAGAGGTTGCAAGTGTATAATGAATGGCATGACGACGAATATTATGGGAAACTTAGTAAGCTTAGGGGTGGGTGCATAGATTTGCTGTGATCATGGATGTATGTATGTATCTACATTTTCTACCTTCCTTAGCTTCATGTAGCTTGTTCGAGCGCTGGGCCGTTTGTTTGGCTGGCGCTTGCCCGCATATATTGGTAATGAAGATTTACGGTGTTAGAACCTGCTGCGTAAGGTATGTTCAGGTAGGGAGTTTTAATTGTCGGAATGTGAAGCGTTCAACTGAAGATGGACAGAAAGTGAAGCTCTCAAATATGTCGACGTCGAATGCAGATTGTCATCAACATATCACGTTTACGAAAACAGAAATCAGTTTCAACCCGTTCAATGACCCCCATCTTCTCGACCCTCAGATCAGGCTGCCTGCAACTCATCGTCATTGTCCTCCCACCCAGTTCCATCCATCCCCTCACCTAACCCTTGGTGAGGTGAGTGGCCGGAATTTCTAGGAGACACCCCCACATCCCACAACGGCGGACCCCAACGAAGGCAGGCTGCTCGGTTGGACCACACACAAGGCCCGGCCGCGCCCTGCCGGCAGGCTGCTGCTGCTGCACCCAAGACAACTCCCCTTTCCCACGTGTTGTTCCACTTGATTGCCCAGCCTTTTTTTGGGGTGCGGCTCAGGGGCAGCGGCGTTGTGTTTGGCTCGTGAGATCTTATCTAATCTGGGGGAGACCCGATTTGCGAGCGCGATCAACTCACGCTTCCCAAGGGTATGGGATGGTTGTGTGAGCCCTGCATGTGGTTGCATGTTGAGGGACACGAGGGACGTTTTGAGGGAGGATGTTAGAATGGTTGGAGTTCATTTTACTGTTGAGGGGGTTTGGCGGTCTGATTGGGGGAGGAGGGCATGGGAGGTGGTGTTTTTCTAACGCCCCGCTGTTGAAGTTTGATTCTTCGTGAGACTTCATGTGTGCCCGGCGCAATAGCCGCCGCATCGCACAATTACAACATCTCAAAACACCATCACGAGGTTCTCCGACTGTTTCTACCTGTTTACCGTAACTGATGAGACCTCGAAGATGAGGCCGTAATCGATGCTTTGGACCTTTATCATCATTCGACAGAATTACCGAGATATGACAGCGATGAGAATATGATTCTATTTTCTAATTCCATCACTATTTTCGTCTACCTCCCGCTGCAGGCCGTGATGTCCACGTCGGGGAACAATGGAGGTGAAGCAAAAAATGACGTTCGCTCGAGGTCTTGGCGCTGGGGTGTGGTCGCCCACGGTTCAGCCGGGCTCCGTAACCAATCATGTGGTCACATTCGTGCGCGAAGGCCCCGGCGTCTCTGCCGTATTAAGGCTAGCGCGTCATGGAACCTTCATTTTCCCAGCAAGTCGAAGGAAAGTGTGGCGACAGAACCTTGCTTCGCGCCTGCCGTTTGCTCCATGCGACCTGGTGACTTTTCCATCTCTTCTACCTACCACGCGGCCCGACTTTGCAGCCCGATCTCGAGTCGCACAACTTGCCGATAGCTATTCATTTGAAACTCGAGGGACACTGCTTCAAGGTGAAAGACCTTGCATTTGGTGGAATTGGCAAGCCAACTTTTGCGCTCTTTCCAAATCAGCTTTTTCGCAGGTTGAGGTCAAGGGCGCTTGTCTCGCAGGGCCGGTTCAGGTCACTTGCAGCGCTGTTGCCCACTGAAACCAGCCGCCAAAGCACCATTCCCGTTTGGTGGTCCCACCCGCATTTTTTCCCCTTTGCGCAGCGTGCGCAGGCCCTTGCTGGGGAGCGATCAACCCGGAATCCTCCCGAATTCGATTCCCCTTCGGCAAGCCGTCAAGTTCAGTTTGTCGCCCGTCCTTGTCCCCAGCCCCCGCCGAACAACAGGGGGGGAACCGCGAAATCTTGAGAGGGATTGATGTCTCTGTCGAATCCCAGCGCTTGCTCGCTCACCCACCCGTTTTCCGACTCGGCATTTGTCCGACTGACACTTGAACGTCCCAGCGCTTTGGCGATCATCTTTCGTCACCTCGTGCAATTCGCCGGCAACTGAGCGATAGGACACGAAAACTTTCCTCACCAAAAAGAAACGAAAAAAGTTCAAAACTTGTCGGCATTGTGGACGGACGAAATAGAACCGATAGGACGCATGTAGCGCCCAGCACAATGTCCATCGAAGCGATTGGCGCTCCGGCGCCTCCCGTGGCCATGGACGTCGAGCTGCCGGCCGACAGCGTCAACCCCAAACCGGCCGCCGCCCTGCATTCGCCGCCAGATAGCAACGATGCCGTGGACGCCGACGGCAGCGATTCGGAACTAAGCGACCTCGACGAAGTCGCCGGCAAGCTAGACGGCGCCCTCGAGGACGAGTTTCAAGCGGAAATCAAGGCCGAGCTCAAGGCCGAGCCTAAAACCGACGTGGGGGATGCGCCGATAGAAGAAGAAGAACCCAAGGTTGAGCCGGAGGTGGCGACCGAGGCTGCACCAGAGGCTGCACCAGAGGCTGGACAAGAGGATGGGCCGGAGCCGCCGGTTGTGGAGGATATCGGGGAGATTCTCCCTGACCACTGGTCTGGCACTGTGCCTGTCTTCAAACCGACTATGAAGCAGTTCCAGGACTTCAAACGCTTCGTACGCCAGACACCTTACCGGTCCTGACTTACTGTCCCAAGCTTGCTAACAAAGAGATTGCAGATGGAGAAGGTCGACAAATATGGCATGAAATCCGGTATTATCAAGATCATTGCGCCGCAAGAGTGGAAGGAGTCGCTCCCGCCTATCGACAACTTGATCAAGCAGATCCGAGTGCGCGAACCGATCAAGCAAGAGATTATGGGATCCACAGGAACCTACCGGCAGGTCAACGTCCTGCATCAGCGCTCCTACAACCTTCCGCAGTGGCGACAGCTCTGCGACCAAAGCGAGCACCAACCGCCCGCTAGACGTGGAGAGCGCCGGGCCAATGCCGATCGTAGGGCCGCGACTAGAACTCGCGGCGCTGCCGCTGCGAATCCCAGCCCGGCGAAGAAACGGGGGCGAGGAGGACGAGCGACGCGGAGGTCGACGCGGGGCGCAAAGGAGGACCCCGAGGAAGACGAGGACCGGCCGATGACGCCCGTATCGCCGGCGCCCGAAAAGGAGGAGGTTGTGAAGTCGGTCGAGGAGGAGAGGGAGGACAGCGACGAGGATGGGCCGCCGATTGTCCGGCGGATGGGGTCTGTGAGGCAATCCAAACAGGCCAAGACGCAGTCCGTGTCGGCGCGGCGGAAGTACATCCGTCGCGAGGGTTCGGCGATGATTGATGAAGCCGCTTTTAGGGACTGGGACTATCACATGGACATCTCCGAATTCACGCCAGAACGGTGCGAGGAGCTGGAGAAGACGTACTGGAAGACGTTGACCTACGCTCCGCCGCTGTATGGGGCTGATCTTCCCGGCACGTTGTTCGATGACTCTGTCGATCAGTGGAATCTGAACAACCTACCCAACCTTCTCGATGTGCTCGGCACTAAGGTTCCCGGTGTCAACACGGCGTACCTGTATCTCGGCATGTGGAAAGCGACATTTGCGTGGCATCTAGAGGATGTTGATCTCTACAGTATCAATTACCTGCACTTCGGAGCGCCGAAACAGTGGTACAGCATTTCCCAGGCTGATGCCCGGCGGTTCGAGGCTGCGATGAAGAACATCTGGCCGACGGAAGCGAAGGCGTGCGATCAGTTCCTCCGACACAAGGGGTTCCTCATTTCCCCATCTCACCTGAAGCAGAACTACAACATCACGGTCAACAAGTGTGTCTCCTACCCCGGCGAGTTCGTCGTCACCTACCCTTACGGCTACCACTCCGGATACAACCTCGGATACAACTGCGCCGAGGCTGTCAACTTTGCGCTGGACAGCTGGCTCCCGATGGGCAAGATCGCCAAGAAGTGCCAGTGCGCCCAGGCTCAGGACAGTGTGTGGGTTGACGTGTACGAGATCGAGCGGAAGCTCCGTGGGGAAGAGACGGAGTATGAGGAGACGGACGAGGAAGACGAGGACGAGGATGACGACGACCTAGATACGGGTCTTCCGAGTCCCCCCTCGAGTCACACCGTTCGCGTCAAAGCCCCCGGCCGGAAACGCAAGCGGGGCGCCAACGACAAAGAGCCGCGCACCAAGACCAAAAAGGTCCGCGTCCGGCTCAAGGCGCACGCCGAGCCACCGTGCTGTCTCTGCCCGAGCGATATCCCGGGGGCCGAGATCATGCCGACCGACGACGGCCGCAAGGCCCATCGCATGTGTGCGCTGTACCTGCCCGAGACATACATCGAGACGGTGGACGGGCAGGAGATCATCGCAAATGCCGGTGCGATCGACAAGGCGCGGCTGGAGCTCAAGTGCCTGTACTGCCGATCCAAACGCGGCGCGTGCTTCCAGTGCTCCCAGAAGAAATGCCCGAGAGCCTACCATGCCACGTGCGCGGCGGCTGCGGGGGTGTTTGTGGAAGAAGCGGAAGTGCCCGTGTTTGGGGAAGATGGGACCGAGTATAAGGAGCAGGCATTTGAATTCAGCTGCCGTTTCCATCGGACGAAGAGAGATAGGAAGGCGGATGGCGATGTCCTGTCGGAGAGCCCTGTGGTCCGGGCGGCTGCGAAGGCGCTCAAGAAGAATGATGTGTGCCAGTTGCAGTATTACCGCGGGGAGATCTTTGCGGGTGTGGTTGTTGAGAACCGCTTTGATGAGGAGACACTGCTTCTCGACATCATTCCCAATGGGTATGTTCAACATCATGTTCAACAGCGGAATCAGTTACGAGGTGAGTGTGTACTAACAGCAACTTGTAGTGACCGCGTCGAAGTCGAATGGAAATGGCTGCTGCTGCCGGACCCTGCGGACTTCCGTCTGCCTAAGGCGTCGCCCAATGCCATCCCGATGCCGACATCCAGAAAGGCGCAGAGGGAGATCAACGCGAAACGGTCGGCCGACGAGGCACCCCGGAAGGACGACGAATTCGGGCCTGGATTTACCTGGGCCGAGTTCCACGGCGGGGAGGTCATCAAGAACAGGGCACAGGTCAAGATCGACCTGGCGCGCGCGGACCAGATCTGGCATTACCTTGGCAACACGTCCACGGAGGCTAAGGCCCAATACACGGACGATCCGTCAAAGCCATGGCATAATCCCAAGGGCAACTTCCTGGACACCATACCGAAACCGCCGCCCCCTGCGCGGGTTGCTTCGGTCGCTCAGGCCAGGCCGCTAGTTCCCGGCGGGCATCTAGGCTACACTGCTGCGTTCACTGGGCTCCCGCAGGCTGGTGTGTCGGCTGCCAAGAAAAAGGAGAAGCCGTATGTTTACAAGCCTAGGAAGCCGGTTGCCCTGGCCCCTGGTCAAACTCCGGCCCCGTTCACCTCGCACACGTTTGCTGTCAACTCGCCTTCACCTTCGCCTTCCCCGGCACCGGGACCGGCCTTTCAGCAGTTCCAGGCGCAGCCTATGGCGGCGCGGCCACCAGCGCAACAGCCGACGTTTCATCAGCATGTGTTTCCCCAGCATCCTCAGCAGCAGCAGTTCATGCCACCACCGCCGCCGCATATGCATCATCATCAACATCAATATCATCAGCCGCAGCAGCAGCAGCAGCAGGAGCAGGCGCCGTTACGACAGGCCCCGCAACATCAGCACACTTTCCAAGTGCAGCCGTACCCGCTCCCTGGCCCGGACGTCCCGCGCAAGGGCGCTTCGGCACCGTACTCGTCGGATCGGTTCGCTCCCGTCGGAGGTAGTAATGGATTCCCGAAGCTTCCTGGATTATCCTGGCCCCCCGCTCACATGACATCAGGACCATCCGTGCAACACCAGCACCAGCAGCAGTTTTCGCAGCATCCCCAGAACTTGCAGCATGCGCAGCATAATCCGCAGCAGCATCCGCCACAACATCATCCTCAGCACTCTCCGCAGTGGCCTGTGTCCATGACGGGCGCGGCTGCTCCGATGACGGCGTCGGCACTCCCTTCCCCTGGTGGCAACGGCCACACGCAACCGCAGTCGCAGTCGCAGTCACAGTCACAGCCTGGAGTTGGCGGACCGGGAGGAGCGCCGGGGGCGTATCAGAGGTATGTTTTCCCGAGGTCAACCAAGATAAACTTTACTTTTTCATTTTCATGGTAATACTAACGCGCCACAGGGACTCGGGGCATCGTCCGTCTAATGCATGGAACGCTTACCCCAACGCGCAGGACGGAAACTTCAAACAGTTCATGGCTAAAGCCCAGAAAGCGCTGTCTGGAGGTAACAGCAAAGGTTCAGCGAAACAGGCTGCCGCATCGAATCTGCAGCCCGCCAGACCACGCCCCGAGTACCCCCAAACCTCCTCTGCGTACCCACAACTACTCCCGCGGCCGCCTCCCACTTCGCAGTCACCATCCCCTTACCCTCCCATGGCCTCGGGCAGCCCGGCACCGATGTATCACCATGGTTATCTGGCGCAGCATAACGGCCCGCAGCCTATACCGGTGTCACCGCACCCGCCGAGTCAAACACAATACGGAGCACCCCAGTTCTACCCTCAACCACATATGGCTCAACCTAGCCAGCACACTTTCCAAGTCTCACCTCAACCACCGCAACCACCCCAGCCACAGGCCACATCACAGCCTGCGCCAGCCACGGCACCGGCAAAGGCGGTATTCACAAAACAGAGCCACAGTCCGATCCCACTGCCTCCATATGTTCGACAGATGGCTGCTGCTTCGACCCCGACCAGCTCTCCGAAGACCCCGACCCCAAGCTCGGCCGCAGCGCCCGCAGCGCCGTCCCCAGGAGCATCCGTGCGAATTAAGGAATCGCCTGCGATATCATCCCCGGGAGCGCCCGCGCGTGTTAAAGAGACGCCAGTGCCGATTCCCATTCCTGGGTTGCCGATGCAAGGCGCGCAAGGTGCGCCAGCGGCTAATGCTGGGTTGGTTGCGAGGGAGGATAATAATACCAACGGCAACGCCAATACCAACGATAGCTCAGCACTAGTGGAGAAGATGATGGTCAACCTGCGGAGGGCGAGTTTGAGTTTTGCTAGGGGTGACTTAGGTGCGCAAAACCTGGTTGAGGAACAGGCACAAGCGCAGACATCATCGCAACAGAAATCACCACAGCAACAACCACCGGCGCTGGGGCAGCACCAGGGGCAGGGGCAGGAGCAGGCCCAGCAACATAAGCAAGAGGGAAAAGAGGTGGGAAACCAAGGCTAGAAACCCTAGGACGGTGCCGCGGTTCAGCCGTGGATGTTGATTATGGGTCGAGCAGGTGATGATGATCGCGCGGTGGATGTGTTGGCGGATCTTGATGAGGGCGGCAATTATGGTGGGTATGGTGATGCTGGAACGAGTTTGTGTGAGGTGAATGAGCTTGTGATGCGGTGGATGGATGGAGTTTGGGGTTGATGGGTGGATGGGTGGATGAGGATATCGAGGAAATGAGTGCGGGCGAGCTAGGGTTAATGGCGATTCCTTGAGGTGATGGATGGTGAACGTATTGTATTGTGCTTTCCAGAAGATGATGAAGAGTTGGTCGGGGATGATATGATAAGGTACAACAGCATGATCTGTGTATGGAACATGGAACAAGCGGCGTTTGGGCGTGATGGAGGGAATTGGAGGGGGGGGGGCTTGTTATTACTATTATATACTATTATATCCTTGGTCTTTCTTCTTCTTTTTGCTTTTGAACCCGGGTTTGCTACTTTCTTCCCCCCCTTGGTCGATCATTCTCACCGAATAATTAGAGATTATCCCAGTTTAGTGAACAGTCTAATGGTGATGGGTACTCGCCCATTGCTTTGGCGGGTTTAGAACTGGGGAATTAGTTGTAGTACCTAGTAACTGTGTTGTATCATCATCCTTACTATGGTCATTATTGTCATGGTTATCCTTATTCCTAGTGTTATTGTCATTCTTATTGGTATCAACGTGATTAATATTGTGAATGGGAATGGTGGTTTGGATAGATAGGTAGATACGGAACGGGGGCAGATGGAATGACAGTGCCGTTAGCGTGAGGTTAGGTACTCCTTGGCCTTCAAACTAAGAAGACCAGCCTCCGTTCGGTTAGTCCGCGTGAGTTGGTCGAAGTAGTTAGCTACCGACACTGGTGTCTGCCAACAGCAGCGGCCCCGCTTTCGATCATCAACGGCCGATGGGTGATCAGAACTCACCGTGAACTCGACAACAACAAGACTGACGAGCGGGTCGGCCTCTTGAATCGGTTACGGAACCCAAACAAAGTCCCCCAGCACTACTGACCAACCCCGAGCCCGTGTTATCTGTCTTGTATGTTACCCTCGGTCCCTACGCCTCTCAGCCAATCCTCAAATTGACAAGGTGTACATCACACCCCCGCAGTATAAGCATGTCTACAGAAAAGAAAGATCTCGAGGACGGCTGCTTCGCGCAGACGTTTGAGAGGAAATACTACCACCGAGAAGATGTGTTCATCAAGCGGAATTTACGACCCAGGGAGTATCGCACTGGCTACCGGTGTCTCCACGTACCCCGACTCGGAAAGGAACGTCTTATGAACGAAGCGGCAGCACTGCGGTACATCCGCCAGCATACTGATATCCCGTACGTAGCCTCAGGCGTGTTGTTTCGGGCTGAGTTTTACAAAGACTACCCGGAAGGAAGAGAATTACTAACGTTTATATCCAGAGTCCCAAGATTATACCTTGACTTCGAGGACGACGAAGCATACTACCTAGCCACCGAGTACATCGAAGGCGTAGGTATGTCCTCCCTATCCGAAGAACAAAGGGCCATTGTAAACAAGGAGCTTTCGATCCACCTAGCAAAGCTCAAAACTGTACGATCAAACCGAATAGGCGGGCCATCGGGTCTCGTCATCCCATCATACCGTGTCATGCGGCAGATAAAGACAGACGACTGGCGTTTGCAAGTCTCTGACCAAGACGAGTTCGTTTTCTGCCATAACGACTTGTCGCAGCAGAACGTCATTGTTGACCCTGATATGCTGAAGATCAACGCGATCATTGACTGGGAATATGCTGGGTTCTACCCGGAGTATTTTGAAAGGCCGTTTTATACTAGGCTTGGTCCTTCGGTTGCTGTTGGGGATGAGGTGGACGATTCGGAGAAGTTGTTGGAGTTTCTTAGATCTAGGAGTGAGGAGGCAACCTGACCGTGGAACAGTATCTGGGTCCCATGAGTGGTGTATCTGCTCGGCCAGAATCGGCGGCCAGAAAAGCAAATTCTATACCAAATTTGTAAATGGGTTGTGGTGGTTGAAAGGTGGCGGTATGTCAAGCTTGTATCGCGTTTGGCGTTTAATCCGTATGGGGTGTATCTGAATTTGGTCCCTTACTGTAATAGGTGTACATACCGCGCCGTCGGCAGGCCGGAAGAGGCCGGGATAAGCCGGCTCGCCCGGTTCATGCACGGCCGGTTGAGCGTGCTTGTTGCGACGGGAACCCGTGCTGGGAAGTTTGGGTTCGAGAAAGAAAGGGGTGAGTTTCAGCCTGCTGGCCGGGGGCATCGCGATCTTTCTGGACCGAATCTCCCATGTGTATTTTTCAGTTCTTTTTTACTCGCCGTATGTGCTGCCTGGTGTCTGAATTTCTCGGTCTCTGGTGTGACAAACCGGGAGACAGTCCCGTAGAAGGAAAATCCAACGACGCGTCTGAACGTGGAAGGGCAGAGTGCAGAACCCGGGCCCTCGAAAGACCCTGATCACCGGATCTCCTTGGCCCTGGCCCAGATTTTCTAACGGTTACAACGGCCTGCGGAGTCAAGGGTCAATTGTCTCGAGACCGTGAGGCTGTGCGTGAGTGAAAACACGAGTCGTGAAGCTTGGCTCTCATCTGGGTGGGTTGGGTGGGTTGGACAACGGCCAAAGTGGGCAGAAGTGTGACGTCAGTCAACGGCGCACCCGCATCCCGTTCCGGGATCCATGGCTTTCTGCATTGACTCGGCTGCTGCCCCCGTCCCGGTTTCTTGATTTTTCTTCCGCTGCTGGTGCCTTTCTGTGAGAAGGGAATCGTGGCGTTTGATTTAGAGGGATGTGTTGTCGTCATTGGGGGAGATGGGGAGATAAAAAGGGTTTTTAAATAATAGAGAGGGATGGCCCAGTTTTTGGTTGAATAGCAATACGTTGACTTTTTACGACGCTTGACGATTGCCAGCATTTGTTAATAGATTTGCTGAGATACACGCAAAAAGCTTAACACGGAGATATCCCAAACTTCTAATTATCGCCACTATCGCGACGAACTTAAGACGAAGAAAAAAAAACAACCTTGCCATAAATAACCCTCCCCAAAAGACGACACAATGCCCACCGCACTCGGCCTCACCAACGACAAGAAAAAAACCGTCCCCGGCGAAGGCCCGCACGTCTCCTCCTCAACCACCATGGGTTCCAACACCCGTCTCGATACCATCTCCAAGCGCAACCACGCCGCCGCGCGCGAGATGGAGACCCTCCTCTGGCGCGCCCTCTGCGACGACCCGGAGTCGCTCAAGGAGTACATCGCGCACGACTGCGTCATGATCAACCCTCTCCTCGCCCCGCGCAACTCGTGCGAGCCCCTGAGCAAGGACACCGAGCCCAACGTTGTCGACGTGTTGCAGGCCGGCGCCGGTCGCAAGTTCCATGGGTTCCGTATCCATGGGGACCCGTTGGTTGTCGAGGTCGATTTGATGGCTGTAGCGTTGGTGTATAAGATTAGTCTGTTCCGGCATGGGCGGAAGGGTACACGGGAGATTGTGGCGACGGCGGGGAGCACGTGGAGGCAGACTGCGGGGGCGGATTGGTTGTTGGTGCAGTTCCATGTGCAGTATGCGGATGAGGATGAGGAGGAGGACGAAGAAGAGTAAGCGGGGGTTGAGATATTGGAGGCCGGCGAGTTTGGCGAGAAAGCGGAAGCTAATTGAGCCTTTGGAGTATTATTAGCAGGGGGTATCAGGCGATGTTTGGTCATATTATCGTAATATTATTGATTTTCAACTTTCTTTCTTTCCCGTCGTTTCGTTGGTCTTTTGTCTGAAGACGTTGAATTATGCTAGTGCGAGGTGTACGCTTAGACGGACACGAGAACCACACCCGTTGTTTGAGGGGTTTCTCTAATTAAGTCCTTCTCATGATACCCCGTACATGTCCGAGCTACCACTCCTGGATGTTAAAACTGGAGGGTAGTTGTCTTCTGGCAACTGAGATGGGCCTGAGACACGTTTAAAACCCCTGGGTTATAGGCCGATGAGCTGCCTGGGATCTAAGGGTTCCGGAGAGGCCTTGCAGGTTGAACGCTCGTTGATCGAAGTTGAACACATCACGCTCGGGTCAGAGTAAGGCTACCTACCTTCACATCTACATAGTTTGCACTTACTAGTGAGCTGGTCTGCAGAAAGAGGAAAGAGAACAGTGTTTAGCTAAGGGGCTAGTAAGGCAAGTTGGCACGGAGAGGATGGTGTTGACCCGGACTACGGGACTACCAGGCTAAGCATCTAAACCGGGCCCAACCAGGTGCTACCAGATTGGCCAATTCTTGCTCCATAGTCAGCGTGATTAGTACCGCCATGTATGTAGTCATCCTTTCCTCGAGTAATACTGGGCAAACTTATTTTTGCTGTCATGAAGCTGGCCACTGCTCGTCAACGCCCATTGGACATTCATTTTCGACGATGTGCCGAGCAGTCTTGAATCATGCAAACCATCGCGAGTATTATACTGATGGAGCTGATGTTATACTAGCCGTCGAATGGATAAGTCCTCGCATCTCGCCGCAAGTTGGGTTTTATCATCTTGGAGTGAAACAATAGCCGTCAATCTTGTTCAATTTCAATTTCGAGTACCGGGGGTCACATACTGGGAGGAAGGCCTCCAACGTGAATGGAAAGTAAGTACGAGGATAAATAATTGTGTTCTTGGAGCGTAGCGGAGAAGGGGCCTAATCAGCAGGAGAGACGAAGGGTGAATTTTATCGGCGGGTCTGGTTGAGTGCTCGCGTAACCGGAGTGAAGCAGAGTGATGAACACCATGGCAGTCGCGAAACATGAGATTTAAGTTTGGCAGGTGGCAGTAACGTGCCGGGTAACATACCCTTTTGGACGAGCGTGAGGGTATAGGAAACATAACTTGTCACCTATGGAACCGGGGAGTCTTTGGTGTTGGCCGTGAAGGTTGGTGGAATCGCCATTCTGGACACCTCTGCCGTTCTTCTGGGAGAACATGATCGGGTTAATAGGTTGGTGGAATCATACGCAGGACGGCGTCGTTATAATGGGGTGGGCATCCCAGTAAAGTGTATGTGCCGGCCATGAAATTTACGACCATATAGTTCCATTCGGCCTTTGGTGGAGGTCTTTACGGTATGATATGACCTGCATACCGTTATTTCATAGCAACAAACACACTGATGTGTCACGAGATCAGTCCTACCCTCGTCACACGGAGCAAGGGCTGCGGCCGCTTGTCCCATCCTGCAACCTCACGGGTGTTACGGTCTCGGCCCAGTACTCTATCGGCTTTCTGCTGCCCAACCTTGATGTTGTCACCCCCCTGACTATACTAGCGTCCAGCACACAAGGCAAGAATCCGAGGCGGGGAAGCCCTCAGCCCGGAGACCATACTAGACTGGGGAAAGCGACGGTGTACACTGTTACGGTGCAGTTGTAAGATGTTTCTCGGGACTGGTTCTGCTGCAGGTCCCGTCACCCGGATCGTGTGACCGAACCCCCTTTTTGGGTCGCCGACCGGCTTTTCCGGAGTTGCCGGCGCCGGCCGGGGATTCTCCAACGGTCTCGTCGGTCAACGCATGGCGGGGGTGATCGTCAGAGGGGCAAGCTAGTGCCTTCAGTGAGTGAGTGACCTGTCAACGGTTTGACGTTCTGCCCTGCACAGACATCCGTACTACGCTGGTTTTGCCCATGTAACCTCCACGTGTGTGGTGCGTTACTTGCGTCTTCCATGTTTTCTGTACCCCGGATCGTTCACCCCTCCCTTGAAAATCAATGAATTGGGTTGGAGTAAGCGTCGGCGACCACCCACTCGGGTAACCACTAGCGGATGGCAAACTTAAATCCCACAATGGACGACACTCCTTCGAATTCAAGATGGGTTGGGGAACATACATCGTAAGCAGGCCGGCCGAACAAATAATTACTAGAAGGCGGTTGAGGTCAGGTAGTCTTTGAGCGGGTTGCGACACGACGGAATCCGAGCAGATCGACGGAACCAGAGTTTGGGGGTACTCAAATGGCCGACAAGAAGCCACACGTCGCATTGGGCGTCCCCGATCCGAGGTTTAGAGCGCGCCACCCGGGTTGTGGCTCGATTGGTCTGTCGGCGGGCTCCGACTCCAACATTCCTTCGGCGCATTGAGGCCAAGCCGGCTTCGTCTTACGATAGGGAGACAAAAAATAATAGTTTCCCCTATCGATGTGAGCGATTTGATAGTGGCCTAGAGTTTATCCTTCCCAACCACATTTACGTCCTTGGAACTGCATCTCGACTCGGCTTCATGTTTCCCATTCGGGCCTCACCGACGGCGAGAGCGGCCAGCCCGTTTCGGGGCCTAAAGTGGCATGGTGGGAAGCAAGCGAAGGGCCATGCCGAGGTTGCTTGGCGAGGAAGAATCAACATTGGCCCGGGGGCCTCTCCGGCCGCATATCATCCCTGGGGTCTCCCTCATCAACCCTGGGTTTGGATCGGGAAGGGTGAAGGGGGTGAGAAAGGAGGGCCCAGACGGTGCTATCTTTGGGCGGCAGACGACGGGAGCTGCCAGATCACCCCCGCTTCACCGGGCGCTAGTCCTTGACTAGAGCGCGGTGAGAATAGCTCGCTTGGGGCATGATATGCCCGCAGCCGCAGGTGATCGAATCCTCATTCCTCTTGGGTGGACTGGGAAGAAGATCTGGGCAGAAAAGGAGGCTAAGAGGAGGGGCATGACGCTGAGGCGCTCAAAGATGGATGGGCGGAATGCGATCGCAGCGCTTCAACCGACTGTTGCCGACTTTTGTGGCGTTTCGATCACCTACCGACCTCCTCTGTCTGGCTGGGCTGCCAAGGCATAACACAAAGCATCATACATTACATGCCGTTTGGAGCAGTCATAAGCGGGAACGACAAATGAAGAGAAAGCCAAGTAACAGGAAGTCGCGCGGCACATCCTGTGTAACGTGAGATGTTCCGGTATTCCATCTGTCGGTTGGGAAAAGTCCCCCAACATTAGCGTCGCATTGAGGGATGCTCGGATTTTGCAGCGAGCCTGGGCGCTTGGCGGGGACCTGCTCCTTCCTCATCCACTTCCATGGACACACCAACAGCCCGCCCCGCAGCGGCTGGGCTTGAAGGTGTCCAAGTCTGCAGATTTCACTGGATGCGGTGTGAATTTGCGGGGTGCCTTGTCGCACAGGTCTGCTTGCGCGTTTGTGTTGGGAAAGAGCGGCTGCGCAGTGGTTGGGGGTGTGTTAGCTGGAAAGATGGGAACTTACACTAAATTGGGGGCTTGACGTTGTTTCATCATTGATGATGTTAGATGTGAGATCATTGGAAACAAAACAACTCAAATGGGAGTGGAAATGACGAGCGGCGAAGATGGCAGGCTGTGGTGTCTCAACTGACACGTGTTGGGCATGGATGCGTTCGGTCCAGGGTTCTGGGCACGGTTCCTGCGGTTAGCAGTCGCGTGCTCGCCAGCCTTGAACAGCAGCTGTCTGGTTTCCAACAGTTTGGAATCGATCACAGTACCGAAAAGGCAGGTTGAACTGTTGCGGCTGAGACAGGCTGTAAGTTCGCCTTCCCAGCTTTCCTTTTTTAGTCAAAAGCCCCGAATGGCCTATGAATAGTGTAGTGCGTCGACAAGAACACGACAAGAGATCGAGCGGCTGTTTGGAAGTCCAGGGCTTGGCTGAAGGACCACCGGCATGTGAAGATGGATACGGCGCCGAAGCATGAAGAATTGTTTCGGCCCCGGCCATGCCTCGGCCGCCAGTCTGTGTTCCGTAATTTCCCTCTCTCAACATTCCTATCCTGCAATGAAAGTTCGCGCAAGGGTTCCAAGTAGAAAAAAAACCACACCCACAACTCCATGTTTAGGAGGAATATCAGCTTCTCTCCCTCGAGGCTGGTTTATTGGGGTGGTTTTGGTAAGCCAGAAGACGTACGAAGTACGGGTTTGCGCATCAAATGGGAAACAGCAGGGGAGAAAGACCCCTGCTCGGGCAGGGGTTGCAGCGGGTTTCTTCCCCGCAATTGCCAGATACCCCCACACATGCGCCGTCCGGCTAACTCGGTCGGGTTGGTATCGTTCCATCTCTCTCGACACTTGTTCCTTCGCACTTGCCTCGACGGGAGTCAAAGTTGGTCCCAACGAGCTGATGAAAATAACGCGAAAAGACTAATGGCCGACCTGGATAATCGTAGGTGTAGGGAGATGCCTGATTTTTCTTCAAGAAGGATGCGAGAGATAACCGGTGACTTGTGCGGATTACCGAACGACAAGGCTTCCATGGGGGAATGCCGCCTATCTCGGCGACCCTTATCACAGAACGGCGTCTTTGTCGAACACTGGGACACAAAACGGCAGGGGTGACCGAGACTGGTGGATTCCGCCGACTGTTCGACGGGATGATATCCACCTCGGTCCACTGTGATAAGGTTGGAATCCTCCCCCAACGCCTTCCCCAGTGCTTCGTTCCCGAGCTCCGAAGGGGGCCAGTGAGAACCCGGGAGTTGAGAACCAATAAGAAGTTTTGGCCTAACCTATCTTGTGCCAAGAGCCACAATCCGCCTCCCCCAGAAACTCTCACACAAATCGCCCGGCCCCGCCATGCCCACCAACAAGGATAATGACCAAGCTTTGCCAGGTCGGGAAGCTGGCAAGATAATTCCAAGCAATGCCCAGACGATCGAGTTTGGCTTGCTGGCCCAACGGACGAATGGCAGCAAGCCCGGACTCTGTCAAACGCTCACAATGCCCTCCCTTCGGGGCCCCCCTCATTAACTCTCGGTGCATTCACCAGAGTGGGCAAGATGTGGCGGCTGCTTGCCAAACAGGACCACGACTGCATTCGTGAGCTGGACCGGGGTACCGCCGACTGATGAGGAGAGAAGGCCAGCATTGTGTTCCCAACCCACTGAATTTAGGTGGTCCCCTTTGATCCCACGAATGCGCGGCTTGAGAGAGGTCCGCCCGGTGAGGATTCACCCGTTTCGAACCGTTGCGTAGTTGGTAGCACGACGTTACTGCCATGCCGTCATGCTGTAAAGGAAACGATTTTGATGCTCACGGGAGCACCAGCCTTAGAGGAATTAGCATCAGTGGCGTCGTTGGGGTCTTGAAGCTTGAACCACCTCCCGTGAACCCCGCCAGCCATCGAGCCTGGAGAGATCTAGGGGCGCCGCCCCGGCTTGGCCGTCTCTTTTGCCAAACTCACAAATTCCTCTCGAGGCCAATTAAAAAGTCCGACTTATTACAGGCTTCGAGGGTCGACCGCGCTGCCGGCACCAACCAAACTGGGCGACCGACACGAGGAGGACGCTACCAGCGGCGATCAAGGCCAAGTTCGATTCGATATGCGCTATCTCCTGATTGGGCAAGCCTGTTGGGATGACCCGACGAGCTGCGCGCTGCCACCCCCGGGCCACCTACGGGCCCCGGCCGTTGGCGACTGCGAAGCTCCCCTTTCTTATTGCAGTTGCGTCGTTGCGACCTCTTTTTGCCTGCCGGTTCCGTCATGCGCCGCAGTCCCGCATGGTTGCTGCATGGCTTGACGACCTCTTGGGCTCGAGGTTGCTTGTTCCACGACTTCCTTCCACCAAAGATGCTCGCCCCCGCCACCATGGCCATGTGCGCATTTGCATGCGTAGGCGTTTTGGGGCGCGCGGGCCTGCGGAACTTTGCAGGAACCTGAGAAGCGTGGAAGCGTCGTCAAGTGACTGATGGACTGGATGCTCTCGGCCGTTCCCCTCTCCAAGGCCTCGGTTTCCTTGTCAAGCTAGCTGCCGCTCGGGCAACTGCACTGCAGGCGTGACGCGTTAACGCCTTCCGCGCAGCTTCTAGCCATTTTCTGGGCCCATTTTCTGTGATTTCCCTCCCAGGAAACACCCCAGTAACCAGGTGGTTTCCTATGGGCTCACCTGGGCCCAATTGTCGGACTTTGTTCTCCTTCCGTGTTATTGGACCTCGCCCCCGTCCCATTTCCCAGACCCTCGTCATTCCCCTCGTCCTTGCCACTCTTGTCGACAGAAAGACCCCGCCGAGATACGGACCCTGGGAAGCCGTGCATGTCTATCGGGAGTACTATGTAACCAAAAAAGACTTGGTGACCGACACCGTACACTACACGAGGGGAGCGAGAGCTACCTAAGTTACACACCCAGGGAGAGAGCCGCAACGTCGCCGCAACCGAGCACACCCATCCAGATCCTTTCCATCCCTCCCATCTCAACCCTTCCCGTCCCATCCCGTCCCATTCTGTTTTAAAAGCCCCTTCCCTCCCCTCGTCTTTCCCATTTCTTTACTCCCCTTTCCCCTGTCCCTCCCTCACACCACCATCCCCCGACTCCAACCACCCTTCCCTTCGCCATGTCGTCGGAAGAAAAAGGCGAGATTCATACGCCCGACAAGGAGGTGCTGGCGCCACCTGCCTTCGACGCCCACGATGGGGCGACGGGCCCAGTGCGGGACGAGGACTTCCTCACGCGCAATGGCTTGACCTTGAAGTCGTTCCAGAAGCGCGATGTAGGCGGCGGCGCAATCGACACGCTCGACCGGAGCATGAAGACGCGCCATATGCAGATGATCTCAATTGGCGGTTCGATCGGTGCCGGTTTCTTCGTCGGCTCCGGCAAGGCGCTTTCCAACGGTGGCCCCGGTTCGCTGCTCATCGATTTCCTCATCATCGGTGTCATGATGTTCAACACGGTCTACGCCCTCGGCGAGCTAGCCGTCATGTACCCGGTCTCTGGTGGCTTCTACACGTACTCGACTCGTTTTATTGACCCGTCTTGGGGCTTCGCTATGGGCTGGAACTACGTCATGCAATGGGCGGCTGTCCTACCTCTTGAGCTTACAGTCTGTTCAATGACAATTGGGTATTGGAATCCGGATATCAATGTCGGTAAGTCAACGATATATTTTGTTAGTGTTATGCCGACGGTGGAAACCCCTTTACACGCCTTTCTTTTTCAATTTCAAACTTGCGATATGTGCTAACATTACTGTCCGTAGCCGTCTGGATTACCGTCTTCCTCGTCGCGATCATCGTCATCAACATTTTCGGCGCACTCGGCTATGCCGAAGAAGAGTTTTGGGCGTCGTGCTTGAAGCTGGCCGCCATCGTTGTGTTCATGATCATTGCCTTCGTCATGGTTCTCGGTGGCGGTCCCGACGGCAGCCGATACGACCACTACGTCGGTGCGCGCCACTGGTACGAGCCCGGCGCATTCGCCAACGGTTTCCGTGGGTTCTGCAGTGTCTTCGTGACGGCGGCCTTCTCCTTCTCCGGTACTGAGCTGGTCGGTCTTGCCGCGGCCGAAGCGGAGAACCCGCTGCGCTCGCTCCCTGGCGCCATTAAGCAGGTGTTCTGGCGTATCACGCTTTTCTACATCCTCGGCCTCTTCTTCGTCGGCCTGCTCATCCCCTACGACGACGGCAGTCTGTTGGGTTCGGCCAACCCCTACGCTGACGTGGCGGCTTCGCCGTTTGTGCTCGTCGGCAAGTACGCCAACCTCCATGGCTTCGACTCGTTTATGAACGTCATCATCCTGGTTTCCGTCCTGTCCATCGGTGTGTCGGCCGTCTACGGTGGCTCGCGCACGCTCACTGCGCTCGCTGAGCAGGGCTACGCTCCCAAGATCTTTGCCTACATTGACCGGTCCGGCCGCCCGCTCTGGTCTGTGGTTGCCATCATTATCTTCGCGCCCCTCGCCTACGTCAACCTTGACTCCGATGGCCCGACCGTGTTTGACTGGCTTCTCGCCTTGTCTGGCCTGGCTGCGCTTTTCACCTGGGGCTCGATCTGCCTCGCGCACATTCGCTTCCGCAAGGCTTGGCTGCAGCAGGGCCACACCCTGGACGAGATCCCCTTCCGCGCCATCGGTGGTGTTTACGGCTCGTACCTCGGCCTCTTCCTCAACTTCCTCTGCCTCATTGCCCAGGTAAGCAACCTTGCAGTACTGAAGAAAATGGTTTCCATGGCTAACATTTATGTTCCCCCAGCTCTACACCGCCATCTGCCCCGTCGGTGGTGGCTTCAACGATGCCCAGGGTTTCTTCAAGTCCTACCTCGCCCTTCCCGTCGTCATCGCTTTCTGGATTGGTGGCTTCTTTTGGAAACGCACCGGCTGGCTGCGCACCGAACAGATCGACCTCGACACCGGTCGTCGCGAACTTGACTGGGATGTGATCAACGCCGACCGGGCGAGGCTGGCGGCGATGCCGACGTGGAAGCGATATGTTCACACGTTCTTGATTTAGACAAATAAGGTTTTGAGATGGGTTATTTGGATGTTTCATGTATACCAATTAAAGTGGTCTTGGATGTCGGGGTCTGTGACAACCTGTGAGAGGCGAGCTGAAATACCTATTTGTTTTGACTTGTACTGAATGATGTTGGGTATGGATGGTAGATGGCATGTTGTGATTTGGATACGATGGTCTTGTGCATGATCGTAATGATACATTGCCGTGGGTCGTTTGATCCAACGGATCGTGCATTTTAGCTGTTCATTCGCATTGTTGTCTGTGATGTGTTTATGGCCCTTCGGTGATGTTCGGGAGCTGATGGGTGTCTGATCCTTGGTTGTTGGTTGATTCATCCTCGGCTCCTCGCCGTTCTTGTCTTGTACAGTTGCGGGAATTAAAAACGACCAACGGAGGCTTGGCGCCCCAACCACCAACATGACCACCCTGATTCAAACAGTCACAGTGATCGCATTTGTATAGTAAAACAGGTGGGAAGGTTTACAGCATGCCCGAAATCATCCTCTCGTACTCATCGCCCTTGGGCACGTGGGCTAGGCCCGACGCCTTTTCGAGTTCCCGGGGGTCCTTTTCTGTGGCGGCCATGTTTACTCTGGTACTAATTAAATCCTGTTTTATGAGGGCAGATGCACCAGACGATCGCCAGGAATAACTCAAAGCTGGGGTACGGCTGGGTTCTGGAATTGAGGGGGGCGACTTGTTGAAGGTGCATCAGACTTCTTATTTCGCGTGGGGCTAGAGCCTGAGTTTGGCGAACCGCCTACTCGGACGGTGCAAACCAGTAACCGGACGGTGCAAAATCCAAGCACTGCGAGAGGCAACGCACCCCAACTCTTGGCGATACCTTTGATCGAGGTTCCTCTTTCCGAACTACACCAACATAGATCTAGGCAGGTAAACGTATTAAAATCTTAGGTTGTCTGGTATTTTTATTTACACTTATTTTATTTGAATTTTTTTTTGTAATTTTAGGCGATTTAGTATAATACATTACACTTACGGTTAGGCCCCTAGGAGTTATATGCTGCGATGTATTGGTGTTAGTTGTGTCGTGATGTGTTTTGCTTCGGTCTATGTGAACCGGGGAAGAGGAACTTAGATCAAAGGTACCGCCAAGAGTGCCTCTAGCTGTGTTGGATTTTGCACCGTCCGAGCAGGCGGATCGTAAACTGAGCCGAGAGACGACAAGTCGTGTCAAGGGGGCAACCGTGTCACCGGGTAACTGCTTTGACCAAGTGTGATTCATGCCGGAGTACCCCCCCTCCATACCTACCTTGTTAACACTGCAACCAGACCGTTCTTGCCAATGTTGTTTGTGCCACCTGTACACCTGACCTGTTCAGAACTTGAACAATCAGGTTCAAAACTGCGCTTGGACAATCGGCTTTTAGGAGGCGCCCGGGCCATGAGCTAATCGTGTTTATTTAGAAACAGGTAAGCATGCCTTCGGACTCTTCTCCCTACTCGAAATGTGCACGCCAGAGACCTTTGCAATGGCTTCCCGAACCACCAGCTCCTTGGGGCCGATTGTCTCCCCCGGTGGGGGTGATAGCCGTGCTGACCCGGTACTTCCGCGTTCCCTTGAAGGTAAACAATGACAACCGCTAACTGCTCTCAGCTTTTACCCAGCATTTCAACGATTGAGAACGTCATCAACGCCATCACCAGCTCCCGCGAACGAGGCATAGCATCGAGTCTCAGATTCCATTGGGAAGTGAGCAAGGTAGAGGAGCTTTCTGAAAAGCTGAATATCAGGCTGGTCCAACTGGACCAACCGAAGGTCCGACGCTTTGAATACGATTACGAATCCGAGACGGTATATCTCGATATTATGGGCGAATCTCCGCTACATTACCAGTCTCAAGCTGGGCTCAGCCGATGTCTCCAATCTTGTCTTGCATATTCGCGCTTCGCTCCGATGGAATTCGAAGTGGTCCAATTAATCGACTCCGTCGTGGACCGAGGCACGACCAACGTCAAGTTTGGATGCAAACTTTGGAAGCAACCCGATGTTGCATTTGGCAGGGTTGATTCTGATTCGCTACCACCTCTAGTCTGCGAGGTGTCCTAGAGCGAGACCCAACAGCATGTGGAGGAAAAAGCGCATGACTACATCAATTTGTCGGACAACAATATCCAAGCTGTCCTCATCCTCGACCTCGAGTACCCCGATGCGACCAAGGCATGGGTCAGCCTTCTGGTTTCGAACGGCTCCCGGCTAAACCACTTTGTACACGGCCACGTACTATTCTATGACGACGAGCTGGACCAGCAACCTGCTGGACGAGTTGTTCTTTACTTGTCCGACTTCGTCGGCTTAGCTGGTTTACCAGCAGCTTATTGCCGCCCCTCAGCCGCTGAGCTGGATGCTGGGATCATGAGGTTTGCCGATTCTCTCTTCAAAAATTGTGATAAGTCTAACCGGTCTTTTAATAGAAATCCTACAATCATATTGACGTTTGACCGACTGAGGGCCATTTTTCGTTGGGCTCGCCATATACACGACTCATCACGGTTTACCATCGAGGCTGGCGACAAGCCCCAAGACCCATACGTGGAAGCACGACTGAATCGACTTGAGAGACTTGAGATGGAGCGTAAGCTCAAAGAGTCGGAACGGCAGCGCATCGAGTCGGAACGGCAGCGCATCGAGTTGGAACGGCGTGTGACCGAAGCCGAATAGCGCGCTGAGATGGTATAACATGTGGCCGAAGCATCCGAATGGCGTCGCATCGAGTTGGAACGACGCACGGCTGACCCGCGCACTGAGATGAACAATTTAGGGCCGGAAGACTCTCGGAGAACTAGTAGCAGTCTCCTGAGGGAAAGACATGCTATGTGTATGGATCTGTAAGACAACTCTCATAGCAAGTGACGAAAACCATATTGTAGTCATAGGTGCCATGGTTCCGGATTTTTGTGCAAGGCGGAGTCCCCGAGTGCGTTCCAAGTGCCGACCCTAACCCCACATATCTTCGTGTCTCGTGTTCATCAACCGCGGCGACCATATGCTGAGCAGGCCTGCTTGCACCTGTTAGCACCGTAGAAGGAACACACCATGTTGAGCCGCACCGTATTTCGCATTCCCGGGACTGACAAGCTGACAACGACGCGCTGACCGGAGAGAAGGTTGGCGCCCGGACGAGGTAAGCTTATAAGTTGAGAGAGGCAGTACATCCCTACAATGCTATAGTGATGTCGTGAGTATATGGAGAGGGGCCCTGCTTGTTTCGAGACGGACAACGCGAATGATATTCCGTATAGGCAACTGATTTGGCGTAAATTTACCGTGCCGCCTAGGCCATTTGCTTTAGGCCTTCGGCGGTTGTTCCGATCCCACGGTCACCGTGTGACATCATCAGAGTCGTACCAACCCCCGAGCTCTGGAACATAGTGGTAGTTTGGATCCGAAGCTTGAGCAGCATGAATGCGAGTTTCAAACTCTAGATGCCTGTTAGCCCAATTGGTCATCCTACCAGTGGCAACACGAACTCTGTACATACCTCGTTCCTCGATGTCGTTGCCTTTGTCAGGGGGCTGATGGGCAAACTGCTTGGCAGCAGGAAGATGCTCCCCATACGCCTGGGCTGCGTTGTACAGCGTGCTGTGCGTCGCGGCGTGAGTCTTAGGCGGGGCGGCGGCCAACGGGGGATGTCAAGGAACTCACAGGAAAGTAGTTGTCGATCTAATGGCAACACCGCCGCTACCAAGCAGCCCACCATTGACAAGACAGACAGTAAAATATAGCAACGCAACTTCCACGTTAAGAGCGACGAATCTTGTTTAGTCGCGAGAAGAGACGCGGATACGCCCATAGCCCATGCGTCAACAACATACACCACCACACACGTCACAGACTTGGCGACAGCATCCTCAACATACTGGGCTGAAAGAACGAGAGGCCCCAGGGTGACGCAGAAAGCGGCCAAGTCCAGAACCAGCCAACGTTTTTACTTCCGTGGCCAGAGACAAACGCAGTGCATTTGCTAAAAACCGTTAGACTAGTAAGACACTTGAGGCTCCCTAACCTAGGTACTCAAAGCAGACTACTTACTGTATACCTCAAGAGCGGAGATCGAATTCTCAAGGTCCAACGTCGTGAGCTGGGAAATGACAAATAAAGCAATTAGTTAGATTCATAATGTTTCGGGAGATGGGTTCCGTACCTGCAGGGCTATTTGTGCAAGCCCTGCAGCTGCACCCCAGAAAGGAGCAATTCGGTCATTGCCGGTCATACGGCTCTGGGAAGGGTTTAGGCATATTCTTGAGTAGGTATGCTTCTTTTTATATCGTTGGGGCGCGGTGAAGTACGTTTTTTTATATCGTTGGGGCGTACTTCACCGCGGATACCAAGAAGTAGTCGAAGTAGCAAATCTTTCGGCTTCAGGATTAAAGACCACTTGATGGAAGGTTTGAAGTTGTGTTGGTTGTGTTCAACCCAAGAAGTCGCCGCTACAAACGCACTTTTGTGAGGCAGTGCGGTGCCTTAAATCTCAGCCGTATCAGAGGCATTGTGTGAATCGGGATCAACTCCAAGACCTTGGTAGGTACCATAAATGCTCAGGTTGTACTGTTCCTGTTTCATCCATGAACGATCCGAACGTAGTTCGTCTACATCATGAACTTGTCGACGTATTACGTCTGATATACACAGAACGGTATCACGAGGGCGGACGTTTCTTAGCGCTGACACCGGAAGCAATCTCAATTGCACAGGTATGTCAATGGTCATACGGCAGTATAGGTCTGCTTCCGAAACAGATGGATTTCTTAACACGCCTTTCCCCGAGCACATCCTCCCCTGTTTACCTAGCAAAGCTTAATGGTCAGTAAGCCCGAGTTGTTATGTTCCTCCCAGCGGGAAATATCCCAAGTTCTGCCCAATTCCAGTCGACCAGTCGTTATGGTTGAAGTAGATGGCTAGTACACTCAGGTCAGCTCCGATCAAATGCAGATTAAGTACGAAGTCCTTACCCGTCAGGAAGAGCGAGAAGGAGTCTGGTTGGAATTAGCAAGGGAAACTTGGACCAAACGTGCAACGAGGGAACTTGCCCGAATTACCAGCGGCCAGGTCGGCGTTCTCCTGGGCGAGCTGACGGATGCACTGCCACTGGTAGGCCGGTTGCTGGTTGATCAAGCACTGATCGGCTGTCGACCAGTTAGCACCACGTTGCAACCTCCAGTTCATGGGGCCAACCCATACCGAGACTGCCTTGGCCCATGATGCTCCTGGCATGCGTGAACTCGTGGATCAGCGTCGCCGGGAGGTATCCCCACAGATAGTCCATCTGGAGAGAGTTGGTGGGCAGCGGCCCGCTATTGTGGAACGCGCTGACGGTGTTTCCGCTACTATATCTCGCGTCCCAACCCGTGAGGTAGTTCTGGCAGAGCACAATGACAGACTCTCCCCCGAACGGAGGCGAGTTGGGATGATAGGTGTACGCGCTTGTGCCCGGGCTGTTTGCGCAAGTTTGAAGAGCCACCCACTCGCCAACTTGATTGTTCTGAGTGAACTTGCGAGAGTCAAACTGAGTAATACCAAACCCTGTTTGATTGCTTCAGTCCGGATGACCCCGATATGCGCGACCTCAACGGAATCAACTATTATGAGTGACGCACCTGGATTGCCCCATGGGTCTACGTCTAGAAGGAAGTAGTCGTTGCACCAGCTAGATACCTCAATTAGCTCAAGAAATCACACAGTGAGATGGGACAAGGTATTACATTTCGACGTTCACACTAGCAGGGTTCTGCAGGGCGTTTTGGATAGCCTGCGCAGTGCCTGGTGGCCTTGGTGAGCGTTCTGAGTGCTCAGTTCGATGGGCATCGAAAAAGAACATACCGATGATTCCATTCAGTCGTGCAATGGCAGCAGCGTTCTTTCTTTGGTTCGTCTGAGTGTTGGTTCCAAAGTACGCCTGACCAAAGAAGGCCTCGTAGGTCTGAAACACAGTCCTGTCTGCGGTGTTCATACTAATAATACTCGGCACAGGATTGGAGTTCAGATTTGCCAAAAGCGCCTGGAGGCGCGGAAGGCCATAGTTGATCTGCCCCTATATGTTAGAAGTGCCTTCACTTTCATCTTGGACTTCGTGTGTCAGATCTCACAATGTCCAGCGCTTCGCGCGTGGCGGTGTTGACCGTCGTCAACCAGGAACCGACGCATCCGCCGCTCACAGTGATGCCGCGTTTCATCAGAGAGCTGCGAATCTCCTTTTCGGAGGCCGAGAAGCCTAGCCCATCCTCGGTTGCGTTGAGTGGCGCCGACCATGTGCCTGACAGACACGATAACACCAGCGCCGCGCCAGACCAGGCGAAGCCCAGGAGGGAGTGTTTCCGCATGTCGTGTTCGTTTCTTTCTTTTTCTTTTCTTTTTTTTTTACACTGAACTGGTGTAAATCACGGCAGGGAAAATATCAGGTGCTCAGCAAAGGAAGTTAAGAGCAAGGCTCAGGGGCTTGCCTACCTGTAGGTTGAAGATGACTTCGCGGACGAGAAGGGTATGAGCCGCCTTAACACCCAGGAGATGTGCGTTCGGCAACGACAGTGGTCATTAGACTAGCGCGGAGTAGGAAAAGGAGACTGTCATTATCAAGGGCGAAGGATTGATTTGCTGGACCCTAGCACACGGCAAAGATCTCTGCTCACAGGGAGCCCGACGTGAGGTACATGTAGATACACCAGCAGTGACCGGGTAATACGGGGCATGCATATTAGCTCTCCGACATAGTACGGGTGTACTCCATCCATGTCAACCAATTAAGAAATTCCAGGTTCGAATACAAGTTCCAAGCGTGGTAGCCTTGTCCCGCTTACATCGATCGGGTGGTTCGTGTTACACGGTCTGTTGCATCAGCCCACTAATAGGTATAGTACGGTACGGGTAAGCTGAGGTCAGGGCGGTAGGTACTCTGGAGGGAGTCACCAATCATTCGAGTTCAACCCTCAGATTCATGCTACCTATGCCCACGCTCACGATCCGAGCCGATCCCGTGTGCCTCGACTGTGCCCCGCCTCTGCCCCGCCTCTAACTACTTTTCCTCCACCACAGCTCCGCACACTTACAGGTTACCAGACAATGCGATCACCTGCTTGGCTCGCTTCCAACTAACAGACCCCAGTCCAATATTGTAACCCCCAAATACGGGTAACACAAATCTCCCTCGGTCCCTGCATTCTACCCGCTACGTCACGCGTCTCTGCTTTCGGGGCACGGGGGGTATTGAAAGGTCCGAAGAAGACTCGAATGGCGTATCCCATGTCTTGAAGACTCTCCATCACAGAGTGACACTGCATCCGCGCTGTTCTTAGGGGAATCCTCCAGCTTGCCGCCACCAGAGCCGGACCAGAACCACCACCATCGCCATGTCGAACCAAGAGGAGCTGCAGCGACAGCTGCGAGAGATACAACTTCAACGTCAATTGGAGATGCGACGCCATGCCATACCACGCTTTGGCCCCGCTGTTGACGGCGTGCTTTGGAGCCGAGTTCCTCCCGAAGAAGACGCTGACAAAACCCCGCAAGGACGGATTCTCAGCATCCTCGAGCTCCCGTTGAAGCCCGGCGTTGACATGCACAATGACTCCGGTTCCAACCCGTCCCGGAAGCTCTGGGACGCCGCCTTGCGTTACATCAGCTCCATTCCTGGCTGCTGCGCTGTTGAGTGGGCACAAGGTCTGGAGGATCCTCCCGTCACATTGCTGTGCATGATTCAGTGGGATAGCACGGTCGCGTGGCGGAGGTTCCAGCATTCCCTCGGCTTCACCCCTCTTATTGCGCTGCTTCATTCGGACGTTTCCAACCGCTGCGCAAAACTCGACGTCTCGGGTACGCCAAGGCTTGCAGACGCCGAAGTCGGAACCACCATTGTTGATGTTGTATCCGTCACATTCCCCACCGGCGATGGGTGGTCACCGGACGGTCGGTTAGCTTTCGAAGAGAGCTGGAACGCGCTTGTCGCTTTGGTGACCAATGGGCCTGACGGCCCTCGACACTCCTTTGCCGTATGGCTCGAGAGCAACGCGTCGACATTCTTCGACCCAACGCCGGCTGAATCTGCCGCCTCGACCAAGACGGCCACTTTCACCGCCTTTCTTGCCTGGGATAGAACACACTACGGTAGCCATCGGGTCGACAGCCTATGTGACAGCCTACGAGCTTCCCTGCTAGCTTCGTACGGCGATGGGCCAAGCCTCTCAAGGAGGGCGGCCCAACTCATCAGCCAGGTCCAACCAGAAGACCACGATCCACGGCGACAGCCAGCCGCGCCGCCCAATAGCTTGCCTGATATCCTGGAAGCGGGCTTTCCAAGACGATGTAGCGCCGACCTTGCCAACCTTAGAGAGCATACAGCCCAAGAGCTCGCCCGCAGCATCAGCGATGCACGGGCGAGAACACGACTGTTCCCGGCTCCACAGGGCTTCTTCATATCCCAAGGCGAGCTCTACGACGGCAACATGCCCGTGATCCCAGAATGGCGGAGCATGCGGGGGCCGGTCCATGGTTATCACCTCGTAGACGTTGTGTGGATGCAACTCAAAGGCCGTGACTCGGCGATCCAGGGTCGTCGCATATACAACCAGCTCGATAACGAGATCAGCGCCTTGCCGGGCTTTGTCAAAACCTTCTTGGCTCATGATGTGGAGAACAAGGCAAAAGTGGCCGTGCTGACCGGTCAGAAAACCCTAACCGCGGTGGTTGTGGCTACAGAGGGCTAACACCTCGTTCCAGTATGGGAGGATCAAGATGCGCGAGCCACCGCCTTACCCGAGTATCGTCGGATCTTGGACGAGTTCGCCGGATCATCAGTCCACGTAGCGGCGCCGTTAACACATCAGGCTTTCCCTATGGCCCGAGATCCTGGCCCCGGGGGTCTAAGGCTTAACCAAGTAAACTACCTCGAGTTAACCTCGTTCCACGTTCCAACGGGCGCTGTTGAACGAAAGCTTTTCGAGCACGCCTATGGCGCCTTCGCCCGGTTTGTTACTCTCCTTTCCCCGGTGCACTTGGCGAAGTATCATACAACCGTTCAACTAACTCGGCCTCGGCGATCAAGTATGACGGAGCCTTCGGTCGTAGCAGGAATCCCCAAGGCGTGCATAGTCAGCGATGCAGGGGGCTGGCAGCCTGCCGAAGAAGCTGGGGGTTCGGACCTCCAGCTCTTTACGGGAGTGCTGACTTGGGTGAGCCCGGCTGCGAGACATGAGTGGTATGAGGAGCTGTTCAGGCTCTCTCGCGGGTCCTATGAGCTGTTCGGTCATAGGCTCGATGCCTTGAAAATACTGGCTGCAGGAGGAGTCACGACACGGTTTCTGGAGTTACAGATATAACCACGCTGCGGGTTTGTTTAGGTTGTTAGTTAGTCCTGGCCTTTGATGAATTAATTTACCAACTTCGGCCTCGAGGACCTTCATCTGGGAGATCGTACCGTCACTGTTTCAAAATTACCTACCTCCATACCCGGGCGCTCAGATTCAAGGGACATTCTGTCGAGCAGTTCCCATTAATTAGAACATCTGAGACACTTAAGGAGTACCAGCCAGCCAGAACTCATGAGTTCCCTATCCTACTAACAAATCTCGGCGTTAGGTAACAATAATAGGGCCATCGCTCCCGTCTATCCGTGCTCCAGTCATCAAAGTCCCACGTCCACCCAGTCAGTCTGGCATTTTCCTCCTCCTACGTCACTGACATCACCTCCTTATCCCCGTCGATATGAGAGCGCCCCCCGGGGTACCACAGCGCCCAGACAGTCGAAACCCGGCGCCCCTACACGGCAGCTTGCAACGCTGCCGAGGAGCGCGCATCTGCTCTGGGCTTTCGACGTCACACCGGACCCCAGATCCTGCTCTGTTGCTGTCGGGTCAATTGGGAAAGTCAGAGGGCAGTGGCTGTTGGGTACCTACCTACCAAGTAAGCTATCACACGGACGAGGCGCTGATGGAATACTGAAAGATGGACTAGCGTCACAGCACAGCGGAACCGCGCATCTCTGCAAACGGCCCCCGCAGCTCTACAAACGGCCTCGGCCGCTCCATCCTTATCCGGCCCAAGGTTGGCGTCGCCCGATTCAATCGCGGCACAGTCAGCACTATAGCCGAGGTCAGCAGGGCGGCAATCCTGTCCGCCCATTCGCTCTCGAGCGATGCCCGGGCATACGGTGCACCCTTAGTGCCAAAAAGGCTCAATGATTTTTTGATTCCATTTCAAGTCCGTGCGCAAGTCGATGCCTGCGCCACAACTTGCAGCCATGTAAGCCGTAAGACACCACTACCAAACCACAACGTTAAATGTTGAAATAGATGACGATTCATATATCGGTTATCGATATGGGGTTTAAGGTATAGGTTGGCGAAGTACCTAACAATGCAAGCAGGGTGTAGCCGACCCGAAAAATTAGAGCCTTTTTAGCACTTAGAGTGCACCGTACGGGCAGGCACCGTTTGTGCAACCATGGCAGGCATTTCAATCACAGCTCAAGAGATCCTTCCTATGCAGTGTTACGTCCGCCCTACCATCCCGAGCTACATCGGTGTACATCTGGTACAAATCCCGAAAACATCAAGCTTTCGGGGTCGCAAGCCAGGCTAGCACCCACCCCACCAGAAGAAATGATGTTAATAGTATAATGCCCGTCTGCAGGCAAGCCGCTCAATGTGAATCCCGTGCAACTTCCACTGCTAGTAATCTTGTTTGTGTCATCTCTCACGGCAACATGGCGCCCTCACGCACTCGCCTGCCATGGCTTGCCGTCCTCCTCTCACTGCTTGTCTTTTCCGCGCTTGCTGTTGACGGCAGCGACGCCAAACAAGTCGCAGAGGAAAACCTTGCTCCACGTGGGCCCTTTCAGGACGACCCTCGCGATGACACGGCTGCGTCTATCCACTCTGCCGTCAACAAACACGCAAGCATCAGCCAAGAGCGCGTCTCCGGTGCCAGAGCGATCGTTGCTGAAGCCATCAGAAAGGTGGCTGCGTCAAACAAGGAGCGCCGCGACAATCCGCAAAGGAACGTGCGGTCTGCCGACGCGGCAAGTACCTCGCACGCTCGCCGAGCTGCCAGGCAACATTCTTACCATGTCACGTCGGACGTTGCCGCTGCTGCGGCGCTTGTCGCCGAGTTAGACGCTGCTGATGAGTACGCCAAGGGCACTTTGCACAAGGACTACTCCCGATTTGGCGCGTTCAGCAAGCGGCAGCCGCTGGAAGAGCGAGCGGGAGGCTACTGGATGGCGAGTCTCGAGAACCTCGGGACGCAGCCGTTTGGCCGTGATTCTACGTACAAGGTTTTCCGCAATGTCAAGGACTATGGTGCCAAGGGGGACGGAGTTACGGTATGTCGGATGCGCTTAATTTTGGGTGTTCTCGTACTATGCTGACTCGGATTAGGATGATACCGCTGCCATTAACAAAGCCATTACTGACGGCAAGCGCTGTGGTGAAAACTGCTACGGCTCGAGTGTGACGGGCGCTGTAGTCTATTTCCCCCCAGGTGAGCCTATTTATCCAACACCAGTGTTTCTGTTGCTCAGAATCCGGATGGCTGACGGGCTGTAAAGGAACGTACCTCGTCAGTGGCTCGATTATATCGTACTTTCATACGCAGCTCGTCGGGGACGTAAGTTGTGCTCGGACACTTCCTCTCTGCTTCCTGACTGACCAAGCTAGCCGACCAATCTCCCCGTCATTAAAGCCGCTGCCTCCTTTGTCGGGCTCGGTGTCATTAGCACCGACGTCTATGTTCCCAATGGCGGCACGGGTATCGATGGCAACTCCAAGGAATGGTACATCAACACGGTTGGTCCTCACGCTTCTAACATTAATTACCAGAGCATGCATATTGACTACCGTACCTATGCCACAGGCCAATTTCTACCGTCAGATTCGCAACTTCGTCATCGATATTACTGCAACAGACCAGGGTGCATACGTCGCAGCTCTGCACTACCAGGTCGCGCAGGCGACGAGCCTGACCAACATCAAGTTCATCGCTTCGCAGAATGCCGGCACGACCCAGCAGGCTATTTGTGGGTGAGAGTAAGGTGACCCGTAAGGAACGAACACGCTAACGAGTAATAGACGCCGAAAACGGTAGCGGCGGCTTCATAAGTGATTTGACCTTTGAAGGTGGTGCATTCGGTATCTGTAAGTGAACCGCAACAACTAAAAGGGACCCGGTGATGATGGTCCCTCGCTAATGATCTTTTTTTGTATGAGATGGTGGAAATCAGCAGTTCACTGCTGCGCGGCTGCAATTCGTCAACTGCGTTACCGCTATCAAACTCATTTGGGATTGGGGCTGGGTACGTTTCACCTCGGCGAAGCTGGTCTCCGTCAATCCCTCTAACATTCCTAATACGTAGGTCTGGAGAGAGATTAGCATCTCCGGCTCACAAACTGGCATCAGCCTTCTTTCGGAAGACGGCGTACACCACACCGGCTCTGTCTTGGTGCAAGACTCGACCTTCACGAACACCAAAACCGCCATCCTTACATTTACGCCCGTTGCAACGAAGAAGGCGGGCACAGCTGGCATCACACTGGACAACGTCGCCTTTTCCGGCGTCACCGCGGCCATTGCCGACAACGCCGGTAAGACCTGGCTCGCTGGCAGCGTGGGCAAGGTCGATACGTACACCATTGGGCCGGCCTTCTTCAGCGGCGCCGGCAGCGGTAACTTCACGCTTGGCACTACGTCAAGCACACCTCGTCTCCAAACCCTCACGGGGGCGAGCAACGGGCTCCCTAAGACGCCGTACTTCTCGAGGCAGAAGCCGCTTTACGTGGGAGCTACTATTGTGCAGATGAAGAAGTATGCGAAGGGGGACGGCGTCACGGACGATACAGCCGCCTTCCAAAGCGTCATCAACCAGTACGCCGGGACCGGGACCGTGATCTTTGTGGATGCCGGTTCGTACATCCTCACTGACACCATCAACGTCCCCTCCGGAACCAAGATTGTTGGTCAATGCTGGTCTCAGCTCGTCGCCTCTGGCGCCAAGTTCCAAGACGCCTCCAACCCCCGCGTTCTTTTCCGCGTCGGCGCGGAGGGCGGCGAGACCGGAACCGTCGAGATCCAAGACCTGCTCTTCACCACGAAGGGGACCACCGCCGGACTCGTGGCCGTGGAGTGGAACATGGAGGCCAGTGCCCAGGGTACCGCGGCCATGTGGGACTGTCACGTCCGCATTGGCGGAGCGGCCGGCACTGATCTCTCCGTTGCCGACTGTCCGGCCGTGACGTCCGGCACGGACCAGAAGTGCATCGCGGGCTCCATGATGTTCCACATGACAAGCTCTGCCAGCGCTTATATCGAGAACATGTGGCTTTGGACGGCAGATCACGATCTCGACGATGCCAACATGACCCAGACATCTGTGTATGTTGCCCGCGGCATGCTGGTCGAAAGCGTCAAGCCCGTTTGGCTGTATGGCACCGCTTCGGAGCACGCCGTATTCTACCAGTACGAGTTCTACCGGGCCCAGCAAGTCCTCGCCGCCATGATCCAGACCGAAAGCCCGTACTACCAGCCAAACCCGCTCCCTCCGGCGCCTTTCCAAAACGCCGTTGGCGCATTCCACGGAGACCCCGACTTGGACTGCCCGGACGGCCAACACGAAGGCTGCGATGCGTCCTGGGCACTCCGCATGGTCTCCTCTTCCAACATCACAATCGCCGGCGCCGGGCTGTACTCGTGGTTCCAGACATATTCCCAAACCTGCGTCGATACGCAAAATTGCCAGCTGTCCCTGGTGCAGCTGAAAGACAACTCGGGTGGCATCCACCTCTGGAACCTCATCACCATCGGCGCCTTGAAAATGATCAGCTCCGATGCCGGAGATGCCCATACCGACATCAGCGCTCTGGACTATACCAACGTGGACTACCACCCTTACTGGAGCCAGGTATCTCTTTTCGAGCCGCCCAGCGTCCCTGATGATGGCGGGGAAGGCGGCAATGTCATCTACGTTCCTACGACGATCTGGGCCCCCGGCGGCGCTGCCACGGCCTCGTGCATCCCGCCTTGCACGCTGGTGCTTCCTCCTTCGTTGCTTGGGTCTACGACAACCATATCGTGGCCGCCTCTCGTCACGACGTTGTTGTCCTCAGCAGCTGGTGGCACCATCCGGACCATCACCACGACCATCTCCATCCCAGCCATCACCACGACCGCCATCGACTGGTGGCCCGTGACGGTCAAATCCGGAGATCCCACTACCGCTGTGATTACGCCCGTGCAGAGCGTAAAGCCTCCTCCGACCCACATCACCCTACCGCCCAACGTAGCAACCGCACCTCCGACCCCGATCCCTGAGTACTCCAACGGGAGCCCGGTCTCTTCCTCCAGTTCCACCACGACGACGATCTTGCCCATCTTCTTCCCCACGTCGCACCCCGTCACAATCCAGCCCCAGCCGACTGTTTCCGTTTCCCTACCAACCAAGGAGCCCGTGACAACCACTTTGCCTCCATCGACGACGACGTTCGGCTCCTCGACAATCACCTACCCTCCCGTCACCACAACAAAGAGCGACACTGGGCCGGTAGTCACCTATACCAGCGCCAAGCCTGCCTCCACCTGTCACGTGGGGTGCGGGACGTACAACTGCCACGAGTTCGGCTGCGGAGGAGGCAGCGGAGGCGGAGGCGGAGGCGGCGGGGGAGGTTGTGGACTTTTCGGATGCGGCGGCGGCTGCTCGATCTTTGGCTGTGGCGGAGGCTGCGGCTTGTTTGGATGCGGCAGCGGCTGTGCGCCCATTATTGGGTGCCCTCCCGGAAGTGAGTGTGGTCCAGACTCCGACGTCACTCGAAGTGCTCCTTCACACTGACAAGCCCTTCTCCCTTCTAGATCAATGCCCCCTTAACAAATGCGGCGGTCCCGGGTGCAAGAACGGAGGTTGCGGAACTCAGCCTGAGGGGGACTGTGAGCCGCAGACGGCCAAGGATTGCACCTTGTTCGTGAGCAGCACTTTGACTGCCACTCCGAGCAAATTCAGCACCACCACAAGGGTAGGTAAATAGCGGGGGGGACTCCTGACACTCTCCCTCTTATCTCGAGCAGCAGCCGCTAACAATAGGTAACAACAGACGAACTGCCATCCGTACGCGCAGTGCGATGCCACCGACAAGACGACCACCAGCACCATAACCGAGCCGGAACCCTCGTTCGGAACCGTCTCCGTGACCGTCTCCAACCGCGGCATGGGCCGGCAGCCGGCAAGCCTCGTCAACTCGCTCGCGTCGCAGGTCATCAGCGATCAGTACAGCTGGGACCTAACGCGCTTCGGCGCGATGCCGACGGGCGGCGACGGCGGCGACGGCGGCAAGACGGTGCCCACGGGACCAAACGGAGTACAGGGCGTGTACTGGACCTGGTTCATCTCCCGCAGCCTGAGCACCGGGGCGTACGGCCTGGGCACGTACAGCGACCGGCCGAACGACCAGTGCACCAACACGGGGGAGTGGACCGATCCCCACTACCAGGTGTCCGAGTGGATCTACGACGTCCAGGTTCTCACCGTCTTTGGAGACTCGTCGTGTTCCTACAAGTCCAACGATCAGAGTCTGAACCACAAGGCAGGCGATCTTTTGGGCACGATCACCTGCACCAAGTGGAAGGACGCCAAGTGCTACAAGGATACGCCCGGCTCTGGTCAGAAGTGTCCTAACGTTAATGACTATGATTTCCCGATGGCGTACTGCAACTGGGACTGAGGCTGGGTGTTGAGGATGGCCATTTTCATCAAAAGCAGGTTACCTATCTAGATGATTACTATAGTTATGAACGCATTATCGTTTTCCTTCTCATCAACGTGCTCTGTGTACCTGCCGAGTACATTTGCATTGCGAGGGTAAGCGATAGAGCCCACGTTGAACCTGCCCATCGCGCGAACCAAGTGTCACCAGGTCTACTCAAACGTCCCAGCGTTACAGCGCTCCCCAACCCAGGGGCCAGCAAGATGAGACCGACGACTTGCAAAACGATGCTTGGCGCACGCGGCGCTGGAGATCAACAGTGACTTGCTTGGGAGTGATGAACGAGCACTACAGTTTGTGTATTTCTAATTCACGAGAAGGACTTCCAGTTAGCCGGAAAACTTTTTGCATGTATTCACCTCTCCAGAACTGAGAATGACAGTGCTGCCAAGGACAGCGGTCCACAGATATACGGCCAACCTGTCTATGGCTACTGCCCCTCCTGCCGAGCAGGCCAAGCGAGCCACATAAGACACCTTGTTGACAGTTAATTGGCTGGCTGACTGGTGAATGTGATCCGGCAGTCCTGGTGGGCACTGGGCACCGGAGGCCAGGCCAGCGTCACGGACAGTCACGCCCTGCTTCCACCGAAACGCAATGAAAACCCCCTACCTCACCAAGCAAAACACAGTGTTGAGAACCGCGTCAGCATGGCTTGGCGTGGTGGGTGTCGAAAAGTATGGGGTACGTCATGCCAAATTCAGGTATTAAGTAATTATAGCCATTCTGGGTTGCGGGGTCCTTCGGTTGGGCTTCTAGATGCTTGAGATGGGCTACACGTGGAGATGGAGAGTGTTGGGGTTGGGCAACTTGAGCATAGGTATCGTTCGATGTTGAGATAATTAGTTGGGGAGGGGGAGAGTGTGTCTAGGTAAGGTAGTTCGGCTTTTACGCAATGCTTGTTCGGCACTTGACTAAATATGTAGAATAGGTACCTAGTTACCTGCTTTTCGCTTTGGGTTTTGTACTTGGCATGAATGAATATCGTTGTAGTGTGCTGAATATCTACTCTTTCCGGCGTCTTGTGTTGGAGGTTTAGATGACGTGGTGACAATCAGGATGGTTTGGAGGCCGGTTTGGAGGCCGGTTTGGGTTTTGACTTGTATTATCTTGTGATCACGTCGGAAGTAGATCAGTGTAGCTTCGAGGTTGGGTTTCAAGTCTTGGCACAATGGTATTCCCTCCTATTGTTCTCCATCTCGATATCTAACCGATTCAAAAGCGTCACTAAAAGTAATACTTGGACCGAAACTCCTATTTAATCCATTTCCCATCCCAGTGACCCAGTCTACTACTCCTGACTCGCCAGCATCATCCTCATAGTCTCCCCCCTCTGCCCGCCAACCCCGCGCCCATACACCACCTCCGCCAGCATGCGCAGCTGCATAGGAAAATACGAGTCGCCATACACATCCTGAATCTGCCCCTTATCCACCCTCCTCCTCAAATCCTGAAACCGCCCCTCCTCACTCCCACCACTCCCAAACTCCTCACACTCCCTCTTCTTCTCCTCCGACCACCACGACGGCAGCAACCCCGCCCGCGATTCCGCCAGTTCCAAAAACCGCTGGAAACCCCTCAGCGCGCTGGACGCGCCGCCGTATAAGCTGTCCGCGGGGCTGTCCCCCTCAAAATTGAAGTTGTCCTCCGCGCGCAGGCGGTAGGAATCGATTAGGAGGCGGTAGACGTCTTGTTCGGGTCGGCCGTGCAGCCAGGTGCCTTGGCCGAGGCGCGTGAAGGGTTTGGGGACGGCGGAGGGCTGGGCGAGGCCTGTTGTGGGCACCCCGCGGGGTGGGCTGTTGTTGTTGGCTGCGCTGCCGCTGCCGCTGCCGCTGTCGGATTGGTGTTGAGTGGGTTTGCCGCAGACTTTCTTGTGGGTTTTCCAGTCGGCTTTTTGGCAGTCGCGGGAGCAGTAGGGGGTGGTGGCGCATTTGGCGCAGAATTTGAGGGTAACGGTGGGAGGACCTTTTTGGCAGACGGTGCAGGTGTTGGCCATTTTGAGGGGGGTATGGTGTATGTGGTATGAAGTTGAGAAATGAGTAGAAGGGAGAAGATCCTTGGGGTTGTGCGAAGCGGTAAGGTGACGGGAACTTGGTCTTAAGTGAGGGGTCAATAGTGAGATGTTGGATCAGGGATCATGGACTTTGTAGGTTCCTAAGCGAGCCGATAAGCTGAATACTGAGAGTCAATTCACCATACGGAGCTAGATAGGTAGGTAAAGTTACCAAGATTTTTTAAAACGATCAGATACATTCAAACAACAAACAGGGCAACAAACTCTCTTTTAGAAGCCCAATACCATTTGGTTGACGAAGAACCTCCGCCCTGACCAATGAGGCATTAATTTAAAGGTCCCCAACTGGGAACGAACCCAATCACCACAGACAAACCATGCAAGTTTGACTTAGGAACGACCCGTTAGCCAAACATAACAAGACTGCTGAACCCAGTTGCTTGTAGAGACGCATAACATTATGTACCAATCCGAATGTTACTCCATTTTGAATGGATCCGGTGTCAGCCGGAGTTAACTCTAGCGGGGGAATCCTTCCAATAATAAATCCTTCCAAGCGTTATTTCTTCAGCTGACGACCTCTCTTCATAGAAAGCTGGAAAAAAAAAAACAGCTGCCATTGGAAATTTCGAAGGCATCACAGAACTTAATCAACATAATCTCATTTACCTTCCACCATGACAACCGAAACCCAAACCCAAACCGAAACACTTCCCCTCGACATCAACGACCCGCGCTTCCACCGCACCTTCACCTACACACTCCCACCCAGCTCCGACCACTCCAACACCCTCCCGTCACTCTACAAACTAACATACGCGGACTTCGGCTACCGCAATGAAACCCACCCAGACCAGGAACGCGTCGTCCTCTTTTCGCCCCCGCTCATGGGCTCGCGATTGCTCTTCGCAACCAAAGATGCCCTCGCAAAGCGCCATCGCATCCGCGTCATTAGCGTAGACCGGCCGGGGTTTGGCGGGAGCGAGCAGGTGCCGGCTGCTGGACGGTTGGCTTTGTGGAGGGGTGAGTTCTTCCTCTAGTCAAACACCACCCACTGGTTCACCGTTAATTACAAATAACTGCATGAAATGCAACATGATGCTAATCAACAATTCCCAGAAACAATCCCCGCCCTCCTAACCCACCTCTCCATCCCCCACCTCCACGCCATCCTCTCCCACTCAGCCGGCACCCTCTACGCCCTCGACCTCCTGCACCATCTCTTCCCCGCCAACCCCCCTACCAACCCCCACCAGGGTATCAACACCATCCTCTCCCCGGACCCAAGCAACCCCACTCTCCTCGCCCTCGGCGCTCCCTGGATCCTACCCGCCCACACCGGCGCCATGGCGCCTGCGTTGTTGAAGATGTTGCCCGCCGGATTGGTATCGCGCGCTGATGCGGTGGGGAGGATGGCGAATTCGGCTGCTGCCGGGGTGGGTGTTTCGGCTGGGGTTGTGGGGAGGCTGGGAGGGTTGGTGGCGGGGTCGGTGTCTTTTGTTTCTGGGGGTGGTGCTAGCGCTAGCTCTGGTGGTGATGCTAATAGTGGTAGTGTTGGCGGTAGGAATGGGGATGGTGAGAGGGAGACGCAGAAGGAGGACGCGAAAGAGGAAGATCGCGTCTGGCCCAGCGTGATGAAGCAGATCTATACCGAGGGGGTGCCGGGCCTGTCGGAGGATGCGTTGCTGGTCTTACATAAAGGGGCTGGGATGGATAGTGCTGCGGGATGGGGCGGGTGGGGGGATTATGATACGTTGGTGCCAGCGCTGGTGGAAGGGTTGAGGCGGGCTGGGCGGAGGTTGAGAGTGGAGGTGCGGTACGCGGAGACGGATGTGTTGACGGGGAATGGGGGGGTCGAGGGGAAGGGGGCGAAGTGGTTTGATGGGTGCTGGAGGGATAGTGTTGGGAGGGATGGGGATGATCAGGTGGTGGTGTTTGGGAGTCGGACTGTGGAGGGGGCGGATCATGATGGGGTTTGGGGGTTGAGATGGGGGGCGGTGCAGGAGGTGTTTGGGATTGTGGGAGGTGTGTGATGAAAGGGATCGAGTGGTACATAGAGAAGTCTGATGCATGTACAAAATGATATCGGGTTACTTGTAACTTGTATTGAGAAAAAAGGCACAAGATGTTGTGTGTACCGACGTTCCACATGCTCTGTTTGTTTTCTTCTAGTTATGGAAGATAACTACAGCGAGTCACTTTTGAAAAGACCAACCAACAACCGACCACTTTAGATCAATGGGGAGTAAGCCGTGTAAACTTAGGTAAGAATGTGTTGTCTCGTCGTGTCACATCTTGGGCCGGCCAATCCCATGCTCCTTAGGTGAGAAACCGGTAATCAGTGGCTAATCAGTCCTACGGGCGTATGGTCTAGTGGTATGATTTCTGTTTTGCAAGAAAATTTCTTCAATACAGACGGTCCCGCGTTCAATCCGCGGTACGTCCAGCTTTTTGCTTTTTGCTTTTTTCTATTCACCATCCATATTGGAACATCTGCTTGAGAATTGCATTTTTTCCTTTGCCATGAGTTGCTTGGATTGTATTTTTATCCCATTGCGCCACTCCTTTACCACCCACCGTCTGCAACACCAGAAATCCATCGTCGATGAAGAGTCATTACATAATCAATCAATGTCACTGCTATTTAGGAATTTCCTCTCCCACCCATATACCGGCTGCATCGGTGCCCGGCACAACGGGCATCTTTCCGGGCTCTTCTGTTTGAAGTACCACCTTGACGCCCAGATAACATGGAAGGTGTCGTGTCCGCACAACAACCTGCACGCTGCCCCAGGCTCGATAAGCCCGAGATAGATGGCGCATTCCACTTTCGCTCCTTCTTGAAGTTCTTTCGACCAGATAATAACTCCGCAGTAGATGACGCGGAAGACACTGAAGATATGGAAGCCGCAGAAGACATGGAAGATGTGGAGGATGTGGAAGACGCTGCCCCACACGAGTCTCACCAGACAGTCGAACCAGTGACCCAAGAAATGCCAGCGACCCAAAGCTTCACTTGCACCGCTGGGCCGGACATGCTGCTGTTCAGGAGCATGCTGCGGCCGACAATAACGCGAGACAATACAGTCCTCCTCAGACTTAGTGTTGCTTGGGTTCATGATTGCTACCATCAACTGCCTGGGGGTCGGATCTGGCGGCACAGTATTGGCTACCCGATTCTTACTTCGTCACTTTGCCATCTTGTGAAGTGTTGTGAAATTGTTCGTGTAGTAAGTAGTGTCGTTCTGGTGGTTTGTGCGTGTTGTGTAGGTATTGCCGTCGGTGGTCGGTTGTAATCATGTGTTTGCCTTCGAGGTCGATCCCACAGCAGTGGGGCCGGAGATATTGAGAGTCAGGGCGAGGGTTGTCAGCGTGGGCGTTTGTTTGACTCGGGCCGGTTTCGTCGACGGGGTTGTGGTGGAATTTTTGTTTACGCTTTTCGAGTTGCCTGCAAACGCAAATGCAGGGTTGGATGTGTTCCTGGATTTTCCCACGTAGTTATATGGAGGCCGGCAAGTTGCAAGACAAAGAAGCGGAATCTTCTTTGCACAAATTTCAAAGAACAAAGTGAAGATCGACTTCCTGTGCCAGGCGTCGCTTTTAACTGCTGCGCCGTGTCTCGTGGCCCGATCCCCGGCCGGCTCCCTCTCTCTTGCCGCTAATAAATACCATCAAACAATTGCTTTGTTCCGGCGCTAACATACACCCAATGTTCGCTCCGTTAGTGAGGCAAGCAAAGGGCGGTTGGCTCGGCGCGTGCAGGCGCGTGCACAAGTACAAAGTAACAAAGAACCGCCCGACAGGGGGTCACGAGGCATCATCCAGGCGGCCTCCTCTGCCATTCACATCTTTTTAATTGACGCAGGCCCCCCAAAGCGACGTGTGTCCCTTCAAATCCCCATCAGATGACCCGTTTACCAAACGACGGCGCGTAATGGTTAAATATCAACTCAGATCCCATCACCCTCAAGTCGAACTCCCAATCCCAACACAAAACCACCGCCAACAGACACAACAACACCTCAGTCATCCCTAACTCTGCAATCCACACCGAAAGGCCACCCATCTACGATCATGTCCAGCCATCCGGATCATGACATCCACGCAAGCTGCGAAACGGACCATGCCCAGGAAGAAACCGGTCAGATCAGCATGCAGGAGAGTACCGAGACGGATGAGCCCAAACGTCCGGTGGGTCGGCCATCAGAAGACTCCCCTGACGCGCTGCTCAATGGAACGTTACGTTTTGAGTTCCCCTCCTCCTCCGATGACACGGACGAAGGTACGGAGCGGCCGATCCCCGAGAGGCATCGGGATATCGATCGCATCCCTAAGGGACAGGATGGGCAACCGATTAAGTATGAGATGTTCCGCATCAGTGATGAGGAAGAGCTTTCACCGCTCACGCGTGAGGATTCGAAGGAGCAAGAGCCAATCTCAAGGCCGGGCTTGAGCCCGACCCCGTTGGTGGCAGACAGTGCTCGGTGCCGCCATTGGACCCTTATGCTACTGTTCTTTCTCTTCGGGACCATAGCAAGTGGAATCTACTATCGTTGGAGGCACCAAGTCGCGATGGAGGCGCTAAAGGCGCATCTAACTCTGGGTGCAAGAGAGGAAGCCGGCGTTTGAAAGGGGGCAGGAGAAGAGTGAGAGTCTGGTCAGTTTGGGCGTGCCTGGATGAGTGTCGAGAAGAGTGGAAGTGAGGATCGAGTTGGAGCAGAAGACATGCTGGAGGAAAACGGCAGAGTACTTAGATGGAAAAATATGTCATCAGGACAGTTCCCACATTACTTGGTGTGTCCATTCCAACTTCAAGAGTACTTGATTTCGGTTTGTTGGGTTTCGGGGAGATTTGTTGCTAGGTTCTGTTACACTGGCGAAGGAAGGGCATCTGCATATGAGACGGCACTAGAACAAAGGAACACAATGTTTGGCACGATGTCTTGTACACGGGATGTTTGGGAACGACATTCGACTCCTTCTTGACGTTGACGACAAGCACACCGAACATGGGAATCGCCTGGGCAATGATGGTGATACCCAGCAGATTGAAATTAGGACCTTGTTTTTTTAACAGCTGGGGTATCAAAGCCGAAGATTGCTACCTTGACTACCTACTTATAGACTCTAAGTCGGCCCCCCTGGATTTGGGCCACCCCCCATTTGGGCCACTTGGCAGACCCACACCGAAGAACCGACCCATCTTCTTCAACACCATATATTGCAACCACCTCAACCCACTACAATACAAGAAGCCTCTGAACCACCACTTTCGGACCCGCTCTCTTCAGCCATTGTATCCTCGATGCGACCGGCTTCAATCTGGGTCCTGTGGATCTGTTCAATTGAAACAAACAGGGTATTTGGGTCCGTTTGGACCCTCTTCCGTTTCGATGGCCGGGCTGCTTCCAACTGGGCCTTTAGAGTCTCGTTTTCCTGTTGCAACTGGGCCAATTTGACGTCTTTTTGATCAAAGGCCTTT